AAAGGGTGTGGTAGGGTGGAAGATGAGAGCAAAAAAAATGATACATTTTATGTACATGTACATGTATGTAGTGTACATGTATTTATATTGCATACATGTATACAACTGAACACATGTATGCATTGCATTTAAAATACATCACTTGCACACACATGCACTCACAAAAATGAAGTGTGTACGCGCAAACTTTCAATGAACATGTACAGTCTCAAACACAATGTGGACTGAAGAGGCAATCGACACAAAATATCGCCTACACCGGTTAAATTTCAACTTGAAATCTTCCTGATCTAAAAAAAATTCATGAAAATCTTTGGAGTTCATCAACTAACCCTCCTTCTTTGGCTGGCAAAATCAACAAGGCCAACCCAGCAGTCAAAATAAATCAAGTGACTGTTTTAAACAGTTGAGTGCTCCTTTCTCACATCATGCAGGATCCACTGGCTGTAAAAAACTGTTTATAATGTAACTTGATACGGCTATGCTTTGGCTGTAGGAGATTGATAAGACAGTTGTGCCAGTTACTTCCTAGTGTTAGTGGAATATGACTACGTTCATGACATTGTACTAGTCACAGTGCCTCAGAAATACGATCTTACTTTGGCTGACTTGGGTGAGCTAATTTTATGTGATGATTTTTTTAATTCTGTGCACGATCAAATAAAAGGAGAGTTTATCAAGTTATGAGCTTGAAAACCAACAATCCAACATTAGGACATGTGCATTTTGCACAATGCAACCTTCCTAAGCATCACTCCATCACGTTTAATATTACATTTTTTATTTTTTATTTTATCCCCTTGTTTATTAGCTCCACAGCACCTATAATTTGACATTACTGACAGGATCGCTCATCGACCACTCCTTCCTAATAATCCAATTTGTCATTCCGTAGACTCATTACTCTTGCCTGAGAAAATGCCTTGGGACGGGGCGTCGGTGACAACGCGGCGCTGCCATTACTACGTGATGGAAGTTGTTAGATGGGCTCATGTCTAAAAGGTTGCTTCCTTCATAATGTACATTTACATGTACACGTAAAAGTACTTCCTAAGACATTCAGGAAGCATATTGCTGAAAGCCTGCCTTCCTCTATGCTAAATTGAAATATATTACAGGACCCATTAGTTACTTCAGGAAGACTCTGCATGCATAAATGTACACGAACAGAGAGTCGGGGGGAATATGATCGGTGAGAGTAAAAAGTTTCTTGTCATCAGGGCCTGCTTGTCAATGTCATTGTTATGTTCAGTAACTTAAAGCTATAGTCCATCATTTGTAATTTGTGCATTTTGTTCGTTTGAAGCAACAAAAGGGTTCAAAATCTAATGAAGGATACTGAACAACTAACCTGATGAAGTTTCAGCTAAGCTTCAGCTGTACATTCCGAGAAAAACAGCATTCTAAGATCTCAATTTCAAATCAAAAGTTACTGAATCATGTTTTGAATTGTTTTGAATTGCAGCTATACGCGACGTACATTGTAGCGCACTGATCCGACGAATTATAACAACCGCGCGCGCGTGTGTGTCGTTCCAATACTTGTGCGCGCTGCGCTGAATAACAAACGAACTACTAATTTAAATTTTCCTATGGTGCTTCTTAAGAATCACCGTTGGAAATGCCTTCTTTCGTTGATTACTTCAAAATGACAGCTTCCCAGAAGGAATAATTTCACAGGGAGTTTAGTTCCCTTACTATCTTTCAACCAAGTTTGTTTTTCAACAATAATTACGCCAGTTACTTTTCGGATGGCTGCAAATGATGGACTATAGCTTTAAGTATACTGAGATGTTTAATTTCTCATGTGACTAAACTCCATAGGTGTTATACCTTAGAACCTTCTGAATCTTCCAAAATCCTCCACTGTGCGATAAACCATCAATTTATAATTTAACTAACTTTCATGGGGCTACAAGCTCAGAGACCGGTATGATGAAATCTCACAAATTCCGTATTTCACAGGGATCTTTCAAAAATCCTAAAATCAGGAGCTTTTCATGCATTTTGCTTGTTTCCAATAATAACGCCACTCAAAATCCAAACACGAATGTTCCAAACCTAAACTGTTGAAGCTTCAACTATAAAGTGGATATTTTAACAGTGCACGACATGCACGACATTTTATCACGAAACACGATTTCATCAATTAACACTCTTTATTCCAAAAATTAGTCAATTGATTATTCGTTGGAAATCACCTAAATTTCTGTCTATGATATAGAATTCAAGCTTTACAGCCATTTGAGTTGTGGATTTCGACTTAAAATACCGAAAAATGTTTTGATATGTTTTTATGTATTTGTTTTCTTCGTCCCCCCCCCCCCCCCAGCTTATCACAATGTACATAATACATTGCTACAAAATCAGGCACACACATTTGCTTTTAACATTACATCAAAATTTCCTGAACATTCCATCTTCTGTAACATTTAAAATCATACATTCCTAAAATGCAAGAGTGCACCACTCAAGACATGTCACCTAAGGTGACCTTCAGTAAATGATGTTGATTCAATAAACACTAATCATTATTACTAAAAACAAACAAACAAACAAACGCCCTTTTATACTGAACTGTACTTTCTTGTCATTAGCCTTTCCCAGCTGCAACATGCAATTCACACCCATTGTTGGTGTGACACTTTGACTTCATAACAAGTCATCATCTCCAGTACCAAAGGCTGGTAAATCGCAGCAGGTGCAGGGGTTCAAGCCAGGTTAGGCTACCTGCCGAGCTGTTCACTCAGTAACAGTCTTTCTTGGTAAAAACCCTGCCGTTCCAAACTTCTATTCTTGAACAGAAGCACACTGCTTCAATCAAGTCTTGTGAAATCTTAGCTCAAACCGGCCTCAAAACATTCCAAGATTCATTTGATAAGACCTACTTATTAAGTAAAGACTTCTTTTTGCATCGGTTAAAGCTGAGGTCAGAGTTTTAATAAAAACAAAATTGCAAGAAAAACAGCAGTTGTGGGCCTCCATAACGGAACAAAAATAATTCCTTGTACAAATAAACTTGAAACAACACCTTCTCACTCCCTTTAAGATATCTTGTGCACAAGGCACATTCTTCATTCCAAAACCAGCAGGGAATAGACTGCGCAACTTAATCTGCAATTCCTTTCAGCAAATAGCTTTGTATTATTTTGTATTTCAGAGAAGGTATGGTAATGGCGGTTAAAAATTGCACATCTTTGTTTCCAATGACGCACACGCACATCAGGAATCAGGAACCATTTAATATGCTAATGTAATCGTAAAGTAAGTTGTCTACAAATATGTAACAACCGGGCAGTGATAGTCCTACATGTATATCTACATCTGCATGCGTTTAAAAAATGTATTCCATGTACATTTATGTACAGTTTCAGATTATGCTCTTCCCCACTATGTCCATCAAAGAAAGAACACTGATTTTAAAAAGAAACTTAAATAAGAAAAAGCCAAAGGAGCCCATACATTTCTCAACAGGCCTTCCCTTTTGAACTTGACTTCAATTTTTTACTTTCATTCTGCACGGAGTTGCTTTGGATGCAAGTTTTGAAAAACTTAAGTTCTACATTGACGTATGTTGATTACTGTATCAGTAAGTTGCAATAAAGCTTTAAAAAGCAAGGTTTTGATGTATTTTTTTTTTCAATTTGAACAAATTTCATCCTAGTACCGGGTAGTAGTACAACAAAATAATAGTCAGATTCTGGATTCAACAAGGCCCATCATGTATGGTACATTATTAAGATCCATGTTGGATAGCAGTGTATTAGCAGAATGCTTACATGAACAACAAACGTATTTTCAGTATTCTAATCTATGTGAAATTGCATTTACGAACAAAGAGGTGAGGTTTTCCGTTGATGCATTGACTGTGCACATGTCATCTTTTATCAATGACAAGTAATTACTGGAAGGACTCCAAGACAATAATGGCCCAGCCTCCCTACTCATTCAAGTGGAGGAGTGTTGACTGAATGCTTCAGTCCGGCAATAAGGTGATAAATTACCTGTCACTTTGGTTTCAAAATTCAGGTTTTTGGCCTGCTTATTAAACTTCTCAAAGTTAAAGGGAAGATACAACATTTGCAAACATCAAAGAACGGAATGATCAAATTATCACGTAATACCTTACTGAATTGTTAGGGAATGACAGTCTAAAGCATCCTTTAAAACCGTGGCTCCTGGTGTGCTGTCATTTTCAAGAAAAACTGTATTTTTCCAACGCTGGTCGGCCGACCAGCGTTGGAGAAAACTGGCTTTTTTTCAAAAACTGTGCCTACTTAGTTATTCTGACTTTTCTTTGCAATTGATTACACACCTGTGAAGAGGTTCAAGCTTGCTAGACTTATTCTCTGACCTTCCCCAAATTGTATTAATTGCTCCATTTCATCTTAAGTGGGGTCAGGGAACCAGACTACAAGAATATGATAGGTTTTCTTGGTTTTTCCAGCATCTACAAGCCCAAAACGTGAATTAAGTCAGTTTAACAATATTTTCTATAAACATACTAATCCTCCAAATCCATTTATTTCTGAAAATTGCAGCAAAAGCAAATGTTGTACATTCCCTTTAAAGAGGTTTACAATTACAATGTAGTCCATTTCTACGCATTCCTGTTTTTATATACACCCTTCAGGTCTAGAATGGAAAATTTTTAACATCAACCTTTGTGATGCTGATCAGTTATGAAATTGTCATCAGGATGTAATCCACAATTTTAGATTTTGTGTAATTTTCTGCACGTTCACAACGTAATAACCAAACAGCAATTTCCTCAATGGGAAATAGAAGCAAAACTAATTGTCTAAAAGACAAACACAATCTACGTGGTCATTTCAAAACCATGAGTGATTACAATTTAGCAATTACTGTACAAAGTAATGTTCACTACCAGCATTTCATTTTAAACAAAACAAAAATGGCTGGTGCATATCACTGACAGCTCCACCTTCCTGAAACACACCACTGATGCATCATGAAAGCATACCTATTTTTAAACTTACCTTGTTTGACTGTCTTGAGGTGCAGAGGAGCGCGACCGACGTGCGCCATAAGGGCCTCAATGTCCCACAGCGTAAATCCGGGCAACCTGTGGCCGTTCACCTCGATCACTATATCATCCGTGTGCAGCTTGCCGGAGCGCAACAGGATCCTGTCGCTGCGCACGTCCGCGACGAAGGGGAACAGCCCATTCTCGGCCCCGCCCCTGACGGTGAAGTTGGGGCTGCCGTCCTCCGTCGGCGAGATCACAATCTCGTGGACGTTTTGGCTCCAGTGTTTGGGAGGCTTGGTCCCCTTCTTGTTGTCTTTGGTCATGGTGGTGGGCAGCGTTGCGGAACACTCAGTCTAAAGTATTGACTCCAAATGTATCTTCCATCTACCATAAACGATAATAAGTCGCACTGAGGAGAACATGTACTTCCAGTGTAGGTTTTCTCATCTATTCATATATTTCAAAGCTTTGATTTACTGTGCAACGGTCCGCTGCCTGCATAGTCAGAAACAAAGCAAAGATGGGAAATATTAGCTGCAAACTAGGAACGGTACGCTGCAGCCATCTGGTATTTTTAATAATAGATCCCCGCTCGCCTGATAGCTTTCTGGTAAATAGATCCCATATTCATCAATCAATTACACATTCACTCTCACCGAAAGCTCCATAAATAGTCTCAAATTCCTAATGGCATAAAGATGATTACGAGCGATATATACACACTGAAAAAAAGTGCACACTCAGTACAATGCCCTGTAAAATTGTTTGAAAATGTGTATGGCAGATAGATTGCAGCACTTTCTTAGTTTCATACAGATTCCTACTTGGAGATGAAAAGTTACTCTATAAATGCACCCGAACCGTTTAAAATTTAAATACAGTGGCACACATCATATTGTTCATTGCAAAAAAAAAAGCATAACAAAATCTATGTATTTTTAGCCTGTACATTTTAAATCCAAGTAATATTATTACTAATAACGCATGGGCAATTTCACTTATTGTACAAGTAATTTATCACTCAACCCAATGTAAATTAGTTTTCTCAAATCTACCTGTACAGCAGGTGCATTGTGTGTACATAGTTTGACCAGTTGTATACAGTGTACATATTATTTTCACAAACCATATGGTTTAATAATAATAATAATAACGGCAATTTATACTTTAAAATGAACACAGACTTAAATCTGCTTGCTGTTTCAATATTATTTTCTTCAATTTAGTTTGAAGATGAGGATGGATTTAAATAACCCCTGGCACCACAGTATTAAAAAAAGTTTGAATTTGTGTAAAAAATCTATGTTTCAGTTGGTGTGTGTATGTGTGTGTCAATAGTGGTTGTACAATTCAAGTTAACCTTTCTGGGAAAAAAAACACAAGGGTTTCTTTCCAATCTTCTATGGTGAAGGTGTCAAGATAAAATCTTATCCAGGCAATGGGCCCAATGGTTAACGCTATTACTCCCTAGGCATGTTTGCTAGGATGCAACCTCAATCCTGCAAAATCCTCCAACTGCATCTTTGTAAAAATTGCATACAGCCTAACTCCGGCAAAATTCTCCGGTTATTTCTTGAATGTGGTCAGGTGGTCCCTGGAGGGGTGACCACTGCCTCAATCCTGCAAAATCCTCCAGCAATCACTGTCAATATGTTGAGACGGAGCCAGTGACATCCTGGAGCAATGCGGAGGATTTCAAGTATACTATAGGCCTAAATTTATGCACGGCTGAGCATAAACAACACAAGGTCCGGCCTAAGACCTTGACATAGTGCATCCTCCTAAATCAGTTATACATTTCCTGCAAAATCCTCCATTTTTCTAAGAGGATTTGGGAGGATTTGGGAAGGTTATAGGCTTAACTAAAAACTTTGCACAAGACCACAAATCTGGGATGTGCACTTTGACCTTTCCAGACTTTCTTCATGACCAAACATGATTGTTGTTGAGCTCCAAATGTATTATTCAGGTAATTACTGGTGTTATTTAATTTATAAACTCTACAATGAAAATCATGTGAAAAACTGTAATAATATTTTGAAATTAAGTAAAAAAAAGTTTAAAAGATCATGTGAAGTATTTGGATACACAAAATAATTGCAATTTTTTTTTGTTAAAGTGTTTGTATTAAATGTGCAACTCAGCTCAAAGTTTGTCCAAAAAAAAATCGCCCATTTTTGGAACATAGTGGCTATCGTTATGTGCAGCCGTAACACGATTTTCAACTGTTGTTACGACTTACGACATCGCAAAAACACCACTGCAAATCTATATCACATTTACAATATATCTGCCCTTCTAACCAGAGTACTCTGGTAGCTCAATTGGATAAAACATTGGACTACGAAGTCAAAGGTCCCAGGATCAAATCAGCGCTGTGAGAATTTGTTTCTTTTTTGAACTTTTAATATTTTCTTCACTTTTCTTTACTTTAATACAATCCTACTTTTTATTGAAGTACACTTCATTTTTCTTTATGAATGTTACTTGTTAGTCTTAGTGATCCGTGTCTTAGTTTGAACAGTGAAGGATTTCTTTTAGTTTTAACGTTTAAATTTAAAATTACAGCGAAATAAAGTCTGACTGAGGCACCCAATCGAGGCACCCTGTGAAAAATTAATGAACAACAAGGAGTGTTACTTACTCTATATTATTTGAGTTTTCCTTAATTAGTCCCAAACTGGACATACACACGCAAACATTGAAGTTGAACATGCTGGACTCACTGAAACACTTAGCATGCAGTACAGCCAGGGCACTGAAGTGAGATTGAATGAAAACTACTGCACACACTGTCACGTTCTCCACACAGGCTAGGCAGCAATCGATGCTAGCCCGTACACTTCTTATGCGTCCAGATTGCCCACGCAGAAATTACACCATTGTCCCAAGAACCCGACCCCCATAACTGCTGCATGACTGGGCCGTTACGTTACTACTCCTTTGCACTTACCTGTCACGTTTGAATAAATTCATTTCAGTTGTTTTCAGTGAGTCATTCCGCGTCAGAATGGGGTGTTCCTCTTTCAAAAATGTCCGTTTGGCGACATTTTTATTCGGTGATTGATGGCTATTCGCTGGTTCACAGCTCACGCCTAGTGTTTTCCCAATACCATTGCGACGGAATTTCGGGTACCATGCATGACAGTGGTTGTCACTGGTACTTTGTTGGAAACACGCGATGAGGAACACAAAATACAGAGAACCGCTTCTCAAACAGATACTCGATTTTGTGGACGTCCAATGACTTTAACAAGTCTATACTGTTGATAACTTCCGAGGGTGCATCAAAACGGTTGTCATTTACATCCTCAATATGAACGTATTTAATATCACAGTGTTGCCAATCTTTATTTGCCAATGAATGACGTTTTCGCAATAAATGACGTTTTCGTCAAGGGAAATAAACGATTATTGATTCCCTCCCCTACAAAAAAATCACAGTATGACATAAAAGTGGGGCGGGGAGAGGGAGGGACGGTAGGCATACTCCTCAGAAACAAGGCAAGGTCCCAGAGTACAAAATTATATTCGACTGATTTTTTTTTTGCTGGAGGTCTTTTCATGCATCTGGTCTACACATTGGGCAGAACTTAGCCCATTCGTTGACGTCACAGGGTAGTCCTATACGATGGCACTGCCCACTCTCTTCACCGATCTCCAATCAGTACAGAGATAGATGCAAAGAGGGGACTACACTGGCGAGACACCAGGCTGGGTACTAGACGGAGGAAAATATCTTGTGGTTGAGGGGACGCTCCTGATTCATCATACAGAATTAAAACAAAGAAGGAAAAGGAGAGGGGGAGGAAAAGCTCACCATTCAACAAATTTGTATTTCCAACAATTTTTCAGTTTAGAGGATTTATTTTAACGGAAAAATACCATTCGAATATTTCGTCAGCGTTTTCACGAAGGGACGAATTTGGCACGCGGTGAACAGTGGTTTTGAGAAAATAGGGTTTTGAGTTGGTCATTTTTTTAAATAAAGATTTGGCCAATAGAGCACACTGTTGACTACTTTTCGATACAGATAGTAAGCTGAGACTTTAACTTAAACAAAATCGAATTATTGAATAATAGATCAATTAACTGCGGAATAATTAATCTCCATAGAGATGTGTCTGTTGGTGAAAGCTCAAAATCCTACGCGCGCGTTGTTTTACCTATCCCGCGCGCTGGAAAATACGTCTCTTGTTTGTACGATCGTGATCGTGGAAACTGAAAAAAAAAAAAAAAAAAAAAAACGATTTGGTTGAAATTGTTCCCTTGATTGGTTTTCATGATCTCGATAATTTCAACTGATTTTGACAAAACTACTTCTTCTGGATGTCCGCTGTTATCCACTTAGTTCATTTTGGCCTAAATTTGTTTTTCCGGGAAAAACAAACTTCATTTTAGCCAAATTCGTCCCTTTGTGATAACGCTGAAGATTTGGGCAAAAAAATGCATATTTTCAGGCCGGAGATTTTTGTTTCATTTCGTTTCTCAATCAACAAATAAACATTAAAACCCTCTTTAATTGCTACAAAAAGAGCAAATTACAGTTCAAACAAACATCGATTGGGTAGTGGGAATTGCCATTACGCGTCAAACCCCCCCCCCCCCCCCAGGAATTAGTTTTAAGTTCCCTGAAACCCAGCCCAACCCACCCTTCCCCGCTTGGATTTTACCAAGTGATGTTTAAATTAATTAAACATCAATATCCTGAAGAAACTAAGTTGGGAGAGTCCGTTTAGACAGAGGGAATTCAAGAAGTTCCGCACTAAGTTGTTCCATACAGTATATATTTTAGAGATTTTGGGTCGCTGATTTTGTAGAGGGCGCTAGTATTATTTACAGAGGCATGTTTATCTAATGTGTGGGGGCGCTATTACGTTAACTGCATCAACCATCAACTCATAACCGATCGATTAGATCGCTTGTTACATCAACCATCAACCCATAACCTCTTGGCGACGTGTCCACTAGTCAAAATGGCCTCTTTGAAGGAGATTTGTGATGGTCTTCCTCTCGACCCACTGCCGCCAGCGAGGCCAAGAGATAGCAACATTGCACATGCACCGGTTAGGGTGCCCAATTTGACGCCCGAAGAGGAAAGGGTGAGTGGCTGGGTTTGCCTCAGCGCGGCACGGATTACCGGATCGTGGATGGGCCTATTCTGCTAATCTATCACTGACGGTCCAATGAATGGATATGATTGGTCAATGAAGGGGGTGTGGTGGGGGTGTTGGCTCATTGTGACTGTTTGTTGCTCTTTTTTTAAGGACATGTGGGTCAACCAGTCGAACACTTCTTCCAATTGAGTGGGCCTACTCTTTCTTTTATGATAGTGGATATTTTGCCGGAGGTAATGACGGCAAACTAACGTTTACTAAAGGTTTGCCGGCGGCAATCCATATCAACAGAGGGCGCTGTACTCTTTAAGATAGGGCTGAATTATAAGATGTATTAAATTCCCACCAAAAGTTGTGTAGCATGTTTGGTGTAGTGGTTAAGCAAAGGCTCTAGTAAGCGGGATGACTCGGGTTCGATTCCGACCGTAGCACATTTTAAAGTTTGTTTTTCTCATCCCCAAATAAATAAGAATATTCTTCTTTTATTATTTTAACATGTCTCAAACATTTTTTTGCAGAGTATTACATTTTCTTTTTCACATTTGTGGCTCTGGAGGATTTTTTTTAAAAGGGAAATAAAGTCCGAAATTATAAAATGGTCTGAATCCCATCTTGTGAATACGAGGTTACAATGATAATTTTGGCATGGAGCCAGACTAAAATTTGTCACCGGAAAATGTTCAAGTACAAAAAAAACCCAGTAACTGCGCATGTTCAGTGCATATCCGGCAAACTAACGTTTACTAAAGGTTTGCCGTCTCCGGCAAAATATCCACTGCCTTCTTTTATCGTCAGACCTAAAGGTACGCGCTCCTACTCCTAGTCGACCTAGTTGTATTTCTATGCACTCGTCTTTATATTTTGCAATGCGTGCATCCTAAAAATGATATACTTTCACTCGGATCATGCAGCCGGAAAAAAATTGGAAAGTGAAGGTTTTACCAGTAAGAGGCAAAAAAAATGAAAATAAAAAAATCTGCTTTTTACAGAAAAAATGATTAGGCTAACTAGGCCTATAAAGTAAAAATGGAGGCAGATGCTTCCGGGCCTGCAGAAGTTGAAAATAAACCGTACGGTGACCTTTCTTGGTCTCCCACTGTCGTCAGTACTATAGTTATGTCATAGATAATACTTTGCAGTTTCTACAGGGGTGTAAAACTTACAGTGCAACCAAAAAGACACATTTCTTATATTATTTTTTTTTTTGTGTCAGAACTATCAAAATCTGACATCTTGACAGTTGCCTCTGTTGATTGGGATGATCAAAATAACAATATAAAAGTGGGATCTACATTAAATAGGTAAATATGTATAAAATGTATTTATGTATAAAGGCCTTTGTATAAATTAACAATTATCTATTGACGATTGAACCATTATATTGAAATTAATCTTGAAATTATGAAAAGTGTATTGGCATTGAAAATAAGAAGGGAAAAAGAAAGAAAATGTTTGAAAAGCTCAAGGAAATATATTTTCCTTAAACCCAGGAGTCTAACACATTTTAAGGAATAAATATTTATTATATTGAGTTACATGGCCCGGACAGCACAGATTTTTCATGAAGCCTCCCCTGCGTAGAGTAAGGCAGGATTTTTTTCTACAACGCCATAACAGCACGCTTTGGAAATCTTGCTTGGCTGCCACAAATAAAGAGATTTCGCTTTGTTAATCGGTATGGTGGATGATCGTAAGCCAACAATATAAGTTTTCTTGAGGAAAGGAGCGGTTGCTTTTTAAGCTATTTTTAAGCTTCTTGGTTGCAAAGCCTTATCTGCGCAGAAATGGGGTCTACCCGATGTTCCCCAATACCTGTGGTCCCCAATACCGATGTTCCCCGAAATCCTAAAGATTAGGATTAGGATTAGGGTTAGTTTAGGGTTAGGGTTATAGGGTAAGGAGTTCAGGGAACATCGGTATTGGGGAACATAGGTATGCACCCGCAGAAATAGGAGGATCGAGGATAAATTCAAATGTATGGCCTTTTTGCATGGATGTATTGGTGGGGATGCGGGAAGGCCTGGAAGCTTAAATAGAGGAAGCAGGCGAGATGAGGAATATTAAAGGCTATTGATCGATCATGGTATTTATTAGTCAGCCTAATAAATTATGCCTAAATGTTAAGAATTCTCGGATCCAAACATCCGAACTGATAATGATATTCCACTCGGTTAAAAAAAAAAAGACAAACCATACAGGCCCGGCCGTAGCAACCAGAATAACTTCAACATGCTGCATGTTTGTGTACGTGCGCACACACACACACACAGTCAAAATGGTGGCGAGGTTTGTTTTCACCCACCACTACTAGGTTGTCGTTAAGGTCAGAGACCGGAAGTGACATCACAAACACCAGCCTACTGGAAGAATTCCGTTTTTTTTCATCGGAATCATTCAGCCTGATATTTTGCATGCGGGTTAACTTCAAATCCGAGCGTTCACTTTTTTTTCTGCAACAAAATTACAACTCCCCTGCGTTTCCTTCTGCATGGTGAAATTTGTTTCTTAAATTGTGTGCTGAAAGTTGCAGTTTAGTCATCAATCCCGATTTGTTTCAATAGGTGGGAGCGGGCTGACGTCATCCCAGAAAAACATCTGTACCAGGTTTCATTGGTTGCTATGTGTTTAATACCATTCAGCACTCCAGATTCAAGAACCATTGAGTTTCAAGAACATAGGTCTGGGAGCTAGATAAGCTGTACCCAGCAATATGGCAGAGAGAGAAAAAAACAAAGGGGGTTCTCAGTACTACGCCTCAGCCCTTTAGACTTCTAGTAATCCTGTAATTTTCAGAGAAACTTTGGTGAGAGTTAGCCCAAACTGACTGTATGATTTATTTTAGGTCATGGGTCATGCACCTTTGACCTTTTGATTTCCCTGGTTATTTGCTGGGTAAGTAGCTTCTGTATCAATTATCAAGAGAACAAAAAAAGATTTCGGATTTTGGGAAGACAACTTTTCAGGAAATTCAGCGTGCATCGCTATGTGGCTCTAAATATGGAGGAGGTCCAGTATTTTGAGACACAATTTATTGGGCAAGGGCTAGCCAATTATAAAGTAGATGTAGAATGACTACCAATTAATTTATTCATTTTTCAGTTTCATTTCCGTTGCATCGTTTTTACCTTTTGTTCTTTTTCTCATCTTCATTGGGCAGCTTGCTTTGCAAAATGCACTGCGCTATTTCCCACCGGAACTTCATGGTGTCCTGGCACCAGAGTTTGCAGAGGAACTGCGAGAGTACGGCCACATCTACATGTACCGCTTTCGCCCAGATATTGAAATGAGGTATTGTCATTACTACCATGAATCAAGTAGTATCTTTGTTTATCGTTTACATTTTGTTGTATGGATGTTCAACTTTTGTTGAAGACTGCTTCATGTAAAACTGCATGTTTTCTTTTTCAAAATCAGTTTTCCTAATGTAGTACCAAGCTGAATCCACATTTGTCAGAGTGCTTGAATAAAGTTAATTAATGTACTAATCCATCCGACTTATGCAAATGTTATGCAAATGACAGCAAATTGGAATATTTAAATTTACTGTTTTTGGTTGGTTTGTCTCATGTGCAGGGCATATCCCATTGATGACTATCCGTGTAACACCAGACAAGCGGCTGGCATCATGCATATGATGATGAACAATCTGGATCCAAGAGTCGCTCAGGTATAAAAACAAGTAATTACATTTCATTGGGTCTGTGCAACAACTGTTGAGGGCGCCAGATAGCTTACTTTGAGTACCAAGTCTTGTGACCTCCAATTTCTGTTGCTCTCATTGGACGCATACCTAATGATCTGGGTCAACATTTTCGAGTGCTTATGACACGTGCACATAGAATGCACGTACATTGACAATGGAAACTGCTTTACCCACAATGCTTTGCGATGCCTGGGTTTCCTTCACAAGCAAAGTGTGGACGTGACATTTTTCTCAGATGACAAAAGCCAGGGCTGGCACAAAGCCAAAAACAGGCGTGCTTGGGACTGACCCCCATTGCGTGCAACCAATTTTCAATGGAAAACAAACCAAAAAACCGACAGTCCCATTCACTATAATCTTTGTAAGAGAGGAATATTCTCTAGATTAAGGAAAAGGGAAACGTCAATATTGAAAATTCAGTACGATTTAAAACAAAATTTCACACTGCTAGGGCTACAATTCGCAGTAGGTCTGTTTAGTTCAGACAGCCAGACTAAAAGGCTTGCTAACGCTGTCAAGATTTTTGTTTTTATAAGCAGTTCTTACGAGAGTTAATAATTGTTTCATTATTTTCTGTGTACCTGTGATCTGCGTCAATCCAATAACCAAGATGTGAAAAAAACCCAAAAATCAATTGGGTATTGTTTTTGATGGTCATTTTGTTTTGCTTATGTTGCCACAACAGTTTCCCCACGAGCTAGTGACTTACGGAGGCAATGGGCAAGTCTTTTCCAACTGGGCACAGGTAAGTAAACTTTCAAAATTAAAAGTGAACTCAAAAAGGCTCATGTCATTGACAAAGTTGATATAGTTAAGTGGACATTGTCTTAAATGAGTATGCTTGGATCCAGTGTCTTTTCTAGAATTTCAGAACTTACTTGTTTTTTATTTTCATTTGATAACACCACCCTTACTGAGCCCCACCAGTTATCTTGACAACTTTACGTATGGGTAGTAAATTCCAGCGCTATGTAGTAATGTTTATGACAGATCTTTTAAAGGGAATGTACATCATTGGCTTTTGCTGTAATTTTCAGAAATGGTGTATTTGAGGGGTTTGTATAATATATCAAATATTGTTACACTGACTTGTTTGAAGTTTTATGTTCGAAAATGCTGGAAAAACCAAGAAAAACAAAATTGTTCAAGTAGTCTGGTTCCCTGACTCCACTAAAGATGAAATAGATCAATTTATAGTTGCCAGAAAATTGTAAGGTAAGGGAACCAGTCTAGCTGGCCTGCACCCGTTCATGAACACGATGTCACCAATACCAAACAAAATTTGGACTGAAAAAAGGTAAATTTGGAGCAGTAGTTGAAATATAGTTAGGTTTTTCCAACGGTGGTCGGCCGACCATCGTTGGAAATGTATACAGAAATACAATTTTCTTAAAAATGACTTCACACCAGGTGCCATAATTTTACAGGATGCTTTAGGGTCTCATTTACCAACATCCTAATAAGGTATTTCTTAAAAACTTGGTTGTTTTATTGTTCGATGTTTGCAAATGTTGTATCTTCCCTTTAAGAGCTGAGTGAATAAACCTGAAAATGTCAAAAACAAAACTTCAAATCTTATACATCCATCATCTAGTAATGGTCAGTGAGATTACAGACCTGGATTTTTGGATCATTTTTCTCTGAATCCTTAATGAGATATCATGGTTAATTGGCTCTGTCATGGACATTACACGTCCTTTCATAACACTGCAATTGCTGACATACTCATTTCTAATTGTTTCGATTTTTTTTTTTACGTTGCTTTTTTTTTTCATACCAGTTTCGTCTGGTGATGCACTACTTGTCAGAGATGTCAGAAGATCAGACCCTGGCGCTGTACTCAGGCCATCCCATGGGATTGTTCCCAAGTCACCTGGATGCTCCTAGGGTTGTCATCACCAATGGCATGGTATGTGATTCCATGATACCAAGGCACCCAACTACAGGCTGTTAACAATCAGCTGTTTCGAGGGAAAAAGTGCTTAAATCAGTGACGTAATTATAGAAATCTCCATGCATGGGTGTCGCGAGGGGGGGGGGGGGGGGGGGGGGGGGGGGGGGGCAAAGGAGGGGGGCTTGCCCCTCCTAGGGTTGTCGTCACTTATGGCATGGTATGTGATTCCATGATACCACGGCACCCAACTACAGGCTATCTGTTAACAATCAGCTGTTGTGATATGGAACTAGGGGTTGTTAACTCACAGGGGAAACATGATGCCCGATGCAAAGCCAAAGCTGCCATGCATCCAAAAAAAAAAGGATATACAAATATTGACTGCCTCGAGGGAAAAAGTGCTTAAAGACACAGTCCATCATTTGTAATTTGTGCATTTTGTTCGTTTGAAGCAACAAAAGTGTTCAAAATCTAATGAAGGATACTGAACAACTAACCTGATGAAGTTTCAGCTCAGCTTCAGCTGTATATTCCGAGAAAAACAGCTAGGATCTCAACTTCAAATCAAAAGTTACTGAATCATGTTTTGAATTGTTTTGAATTGCAGCTATACGCGACGTCGCGCACTGATCCGACGAATTATAGCAACCTATTATAGCAAATTATAGCAAATTATTAGGCAATTTGTCATTGGCACCACGAACTGACATCAGTTAGGCGTGAGTGCGCTGCACGTGCACGTATTTACAGAACAGGGTTATTTTGGATTTCACGAACTGACATCCTCCACGGTGCGGCACTTTTAGAGCGCACCCCTTACATTTTCGGTTTCTCGAACTGACACTGACCTTAATTTCACCAATTAAAAAGCTTTTAATTAAGGTTTGTGTAGGCACACAAGTATACAGATGGATTAAATTCGTGTCAAACCTTTCAATCCATTTTTCTTCGTTCTGTATTGCCGCATCATGCTTGGGTGTCATTTTGTGAAAAACGAAAATCTTCCTATTTTGCGTCAGTGTCGATGTGCGCGTGCACTACCGGGTGTCAGTTCGTGAAACCGAAATTGTTGATTACGTGGTTTTACCTGCGCGCGAGTGTCTAGTTCGTGTGCGCGCACTACCGGTGTCAGTTCGTGAAACTGAAATTGTTAATTACGTGGTTTTACCTGCGCGTGAGTGTCAAATTGTAGGAATTGCCATGCGCACGCAACCGTTAACACGTCCATGCTGTGAAATAGTGCTTAAGGTTAGCATACCTTTTCTGATAAAGTAAGCACAACTTTTCTGCTAACTGTTAAGCAGCGCCATGAAATTAGGCCAGACATATTTGTGCCGCTCTACCGGTTTTTGCTCAACAGATATATTCTGTGCTTAGCAAACCTGTGAAATTTGCCCCTGTTATATTTAATCTTTTTAAAATTTGTTTTGTTTCAGATGGTACCCAACTACTCTTCAAGGGACAATTATAATCGACTTTTTGGCTTGGGTGTCACTATGTGAGTGATTAGTTTTTTATTTTACAAGAAAATGCAAATTGCCCAAAAAAATCTAAAATTGCTACTTGGTACATACATATCTATAACTTTAACTATTTAATCAGCTGTCTCATATCTATAACAATAAAAAATAATTTAAAAAATACGAAATTACATCTCCCCGAAGTTAATTCCATCCTATAAATATGTCTATATCCTTGATGGTTCATGTGATTTACTCATACACTGGAAACAATTACAGTCGAATCTCGTTAGTACAAGCTCTGTTAATGCAAAATTCTGGTTATAACAAACATAAAATCTTAGTCCCGACTGTGCATTTATGTGCACAATGAATGGGACTGATGTTCCTCTTAATACAAAATTCTGATATAACAAACAATTTGGCTAGGTCCGAACGAGTTTGTATTTAATAACGAGACTTGACTGTAAATAGTTTATGAAAAGGTAATTCTACAATAAAACCGGTTAGCTTTATTTCCGTTTTAGTAGAACTCTACGGCTTTAACATATTACCCATGGCTATGCCTCATTTGTTTCCCCAATGAATATCTAGGTACGGCCAAATGACTGCTGGCAGTTTCTGCTACATCGGTCCTCAAGGCATTGTGCATGGAACCACAGTAAGAAATATTCTGTATTTTAATATTCCTTCCCATAATATTACTGTGTTGTAAAATTTTCCCCGTTGTTAGCCAGGGGCTCACAGGCTCAACAAAAACGTAGTAATTAAAAAAAAATTCTTACTCTGAGTATTTTTCGTAGAGACTTTGGTTTTTAAATAAATGGAAAGGTACCTTTTTGGGACTTGAGTTTAACCCTAAAGGGGCTGGGGGGGGGGGGGGGGGGGGCGGAATCCGCCCCCCCTTCAACATTTTCCGTGATAGCCTCTAGAAAAATTTTTTTCGCGACCCGAGCTGTTATGACTTTTTAGCCTCGAGCTTTGCGCATCTTTTGATACCAAAAACATAAAAATCGGACCACGGGTTGCCGCGTAGCGAAAAATTTTCCGGCGCTACACGCCGTGAAAACTGAATTTTCGCATATACGTCGTGTACACAGAGCAGAATTACCATTCGTACATATGAATAATTAATTAGCCATAATTCCAAAACCCTTTGACCTATAGTCATGAAATTTCTTGGGTATGTTTAGGAAGAGTTGCTCTATGCATGTGCCGAGTTTCAAAATTTTTCGTCACTCGATGGCCGAGATCTTAGGGGGGGGGGCGGAATCCGCCCCCCCCCCCCCCCCCCCCCCCCCCCCCCCCCCCCCCCCCCCCCCCGCTGAGAGATGGTCAAAATAACCCGGCCCCTTTAGGGTTAAGAGCTCGTTGCAGGAGCTTGCGACACCGTCTCGGTGTCTTTATTAACTGGCGTTACTGAGGCCCTCACTAGACCTGTCATGTGACCTGTCTTGTGACCTGTCACGTGACCGTGCTTGGTTAGACGACAGGAGGTGGTCGTACACTTGGGCCAGCCCGTACCCTCGATTTCCGCGGTGCCTGCGGATTTCTGCTGCCTCCAGTGTGTTTCCAGAGGTTATCCTCCATGCTATGAGCTCTTTGACTTAAGTTCTCAAATGGTACCTTTCCATTTATTTGATCCAATAATGGAACTGGAAACAAACTTCCATGCTTGACTTTGGTTTTTGTTATGGTTATCCAAGACCAATGACTGCACACACACTAAAGCCCCCTTCAACGACGGAAGCATTGTGCTAGCTATTGTTCAGATAATCTGTCACAGAGTAATTTCTTTGTTCAGTAGCGTACACGATGCTTTCCCCGTTGAAGGGGGCCTCGTGAGTGTACAGTGATAGCGTTGTACCTGATTGTTCTACAGTATATCCCCCCAAAAAGTGTCCCTCCGACTGTTTTTAAAGTAACTACAAAACCATGAGGTTAATTTTGAAAATTGTCGGTTGTGCAGATACTCCTAAGCCTTGGCCTCAACCTCTACGAATTTCAGACGCGCATCACTGCACAATTGTCGATTGATCACAACAACATTTTTGGACACTGTGACCATGCTGTGACCAAGTTCCTTGCCTTAATCAATTCAGTGCTGTGTTATGTAAGCTGTGTAAAATCCTGCTTGCTGAGAAAAAAAAGGCTGATGTGGTTCGGGATTGGAATCATTTGCTCTTGAGCATTAAACTGATGTCTGGCCATGATGACTGATAGCCAGGCAACTGATTCCAATCCCATCTGCATGCAGCCCTTTTCATATCATGAAGGATTTTACACAGCTTACTTAACGCAGGACTGAATTGATCAAGGCAAGGAACTTGGTCACAGTGTCCAAAAATGTTGTTGTGCTCAATTGACAATTGTGTAGTGCGTAGCTGAAATTAAATGAAACTCATACGGGTTGAGGCACCATGTATATCTTTCTACTGCTTGGCCAGTGAAAACTCTCAAACTGTTGACTTCCCTTGCCACCACATACAGATCACCGTCCTGAACGCTTGTCGCCAGCAGCTGGGCACCAGTGATTTGAGAGGCCGGGTCTTTGTGTCGTCGGGCCTGGGAGGGATGAGCGGTGCTCAGGCCAAGGCAGCGGTCATCTGCGGCTGCGTTGGGGTCATCGCAGAGGTCAGCAAAGAGGCACTGGTCAAGAGACACAAGCAAGGGTACGGGATTTGGAATTTCGATCTGACTTGAATATATTTTTGTCGGCATTGCTTATTTTTCACTTTCTACTCATTGTAGCCCAAAGGTCGAGCCATGTTTCTTTTGCGTGATGCAATGTATTTTTTTTCTGGCAAGATCACCCCCGTACTTTTTTCAAATTAAATAAATCAAATTTGAAATTAAACCAAGTGTTACTTTGTGGAGTGCCATGGCCTGGTGGTCTGGAGCGTTGACTTCGTGGTCTGCGGGTAAATTTGCAAGTTGTGGGTTCGAGTCCAGCCTGGGGTTATGGTGCATGTGCCCTTGGGCAAGGCACTTTGTCACTCATTGCTTCTCTCCACCCAGGAGTAAATGGGTACCTGTGAGGGCAGAGAGATGGTTATTGGGATTGATTTAATCTGCTCTGAACCGAAATGGCAGCATCCAGCTGTATACTCCCCAGGGAGCTGAGATTGTCTTTGGAAGGTTTCATTAGCCCAATGAGCAGGGTAATAATGATGTAGCGCCTTGAGCACCAATACGCTTTCACTTTTGAGTAAAATGAGAATACATGTATACGCAGAAAGACCTTAATGCGCAATGGATACAACGCTCTGAAGTTTTGAAGCGTCAAATTTCTTGTTCTCTTGCAGTTGGGTGATGGAAATGATTGATAACTTGGATGACTGCATCGAAAGAATCAAGTAGGTCAACCGACATTCTTTTTCTAACTCTATTATATCTGTTATTCATAAATACCTAAGACAGTTTACCCGTTCCTATTGGTCGAGAGCCCGTCACATGGCCGGTCTTAAACGTATGATAAAGACATGGCTAGCTGGTCTTAAACACTTTTCCAGTGTCACATGAAATTTGGACTCCTAAAAATCCAGTGCCTCTTACCGTTTTGTTGGTTGAACGTTCACAATCCTCACGTAGACATGCACAATACTACCAGTGAGTCAGTATTTTATAATCCTAAATTCACAACGCAACGCCCCAGGTGCGTTCTGCGCGACATCGCTCAGTACGAGTGACGCGTGCGCCAATCTCCTTATAAGGTAAGGAGTTGTAGAGGGACATCCCATATTAGAGTCAGAGGGGTGTTTCATAAAACATGCAGAAAATTGTTGAACAAAATGGTTGGCAACGTCTAGTTTTGACTTGTTTTGGTTTGTGGACCGAAAAGATTTGTTTTTTTGACTGAAAAGGTAATTTTGAATGGGAATAAATATGTGCTTGGTTGGTATTAAACACTCCGTTTAAGACCCGTTGCAGTCAGGATGCTGATAATTAGGTTTAACGTGTACATAATTATTAAATTTGTATTTTTTATATTCTTTAATATGTTGATTTGCTTTTTAATTAATTTAAATAACTTTGAATATTAAATCTGATTTTATTAATTTTTTAGGCAAGCAAGGAAAGAGAAGAAGGCTCTCAGTATCGGTTACCATGGCAACATTGTGGACATTTGGTATGTATTCATATGTAGGATGCATTTTCTCCCAACTTCATTCTAAAACAATTCTTGCAATTCGTCCAGACCTTGTGATAACTGAAATATCAAAAATGCACATTGAAACTGTTATTTTGTACAAAACACGTGCTGCATTTGGTTTAAATAAGATATACTGACAATTTTTCACCAATATTGAGTACATTTCCAAAGGATGTTTTCTAATTAGAGGGAAAAAAATAATTTCAGAAGTGTCAAGACTCCTTTAGACTTATTGAACTGTTCCAATACTATATGCAACCCTGTACCAACCTGGACCATACCATTTCCCTCCACAGGGAGAGAGTAGCGGCAGTTTCACATTCCCCTTTCCAACTAACTTTGGCAAAGCCTCCCATTGACTTAAAGGGAATATACATCATTGGCTTTTGCTGTAATTTTCAGAAATGAACTATTTGAGGGGTTAGTATAATAGATCAAATATTGTTTAACTGACATGTTTGAAGTTTTGTGTTCGAAAATGCTTGAAAAACCAAGAAAAACAAAATTATTAAAGTAGTCTGGTTCCCTGACTCCACTAAAGATAAAATGGATCAATTTATAGATGTCGGGAAAATTGTAAGGTAAGGGAACCAGTCTAGCTGGCCTGCACCCGTTCATGAACATGTAACCAATAGCAAACAAAATTTGGACTGACAAAAAATTATAAATTTGGAGCAGTAGTTGAAAAATAGTTAGGTTTTTCCAACGGTGGTCGGCCGACCACCGTTGGAAATGTATACAAAAATACCATTTTCTTGAAAATGACTTGACACCAGGTGCCATAATTTTACAGGATGCTTTAGACTGTCATTTACTAACATCCTAGTAAGGTATTTCGTAAAAACTTGGTAGTTTTATTTTTCGATATTTGCAAATGTTGTATATTCCCTTTAATGAACTGTCCCAGTACTATATGCATTCCTTTAACAAGCTGGGCTATACCATTTCCCTCCATAGGGAGAGAGAAATGACAATTTCACATGCCCCCTTTCCAACTCACTTTGGCAAAACCTCCCATTGACTTAATGAACTGTCCCAGTACTATGTGCAGCCCTGTACCAACCTGGACCACACCACTTCCCTCCACAGGGAGAGAGTAGCGGTAGTTTCACAATTTCCAACTAATTTTGGTAAAACTTCCTTTAGACTTAATGAACTGTCCCAGAACTATGTGCATCATACTAACCAGGACTATACCATTTCCCTCCACAGGGAGAGAGTAGCAGTAGTTTCACAATTTCCAACTAATTTTGGTAAAACTTCCTTTAGACTTAATGAACTGTCCCAGAACTATGTGCATCATACTAACCAGGACTATACCATTTCCCTCCACAGGGAGAGAGTAGCAGCCGAATATGACAGCACGGGTGAGCTGTTGGTGGACCTGGGCTCAGACCAGACCTCGTGTCATAACCCCTTCAATGGCGGCTACTACCCCGTACAGCTGAGCTTTGATGAGGCTAATGTCATGATGGCGCAGGATCCAGTCCGGTTCCGCAACCTGGTTGAGGAGAGGTGGGTGGTTTGATTGACTGGTTTTTTCTTTTTTTCAATTTTGTGTCAACAGCATAAAAAAAACTGTATATTGTGGAACTTATGGAACAAAAACAAAAGAAAGAAAAACCTATTTTAAACTCTTAAAGATATAGTCCATCATTTGTAATTTGTGCATTTTTTTCGTTTGAAGCAACAAAAGTTCTCAAAATCTAAAGAAGGATACTGAACAACTAACCTGATGCAGTTTCAGCTCAGTTTCAGCTGTATATTCTGAGAAAAACAGCATTCTAGGATCTCAATTTCAAATCAAAAGTTGCTGAATCATGTTTTGAATTGGGCCTGAATTCAGCGTCCGAGACACGCCGTTCTAACCATGGAGCTTTATAGCTCCATGTTCTAACTGAGCCGATTGCAGCTACGAGATGTCGCGCACTGATCCGATGAATTATAGCAACCGCGCGCGCGTGTGCGTCGTGTCAACGCTTGCGCGCTTCGCCGAATAAAAAAACAAACTACTAACGGAAATTTCCTACGGTGCGTCTTAAGAAGCACCGTTGGAAAGGCCTTCTTTCGTTGATTACTTTAAAATGACAGCTTGCCAGAAAGAATAATTTCACAGGGGTTTAGTCCCCTTACTATCTTTCAACCAAGTATGTTTTTCAACAATAATTACGGCAGTTACTTTTCAGATAGCTGCAAATGATGGACTATAGCTTTAAGCACCAATATTGCTGGATATGTACGCTGTATAAATACACGTTGTTATTATTGTTACTATTTATTTATTGATGGTAGCCATGTCACCTTAAGGATGATTTTCAATGGGCAATCTTAAAAAATATTACATATATGAGGATTAAAATACATTCGGATTGTAGATTTAACAGAAACGAGAGCATTTAAACAACCGACACTTAACATATTCATTGAAAACCAGATAAAATCTATAAATAATGAAAATGTGGTTTTCATAATGTAAAAGGCAAAAGATGGATATTCTCTAACACTATTATTATTACAATTAAGACTCTACTTAATCGTGCATTGTCTGACTGAAAAGCTCATAGTACTTTGGAATTAGCAATTCAATCTAATAATATATTTTTCAAATAAAAATTTTTTAAGACGGCCAGATGTTGCGATCTTGATCTTAACAAGATCATCTTCAGCAGCCAAATGGCAGTGGTACAAGAAACAAACATGTTGGGGACACACGAGCACGCAGGGTTGGAAGAAGAAACACAAAAGAAGATTAAGTTTATTTTTTAGGGTGCCACACCCACAAAACACAGCCTGCAAAAAGTTTCGTTTTTCTGGTCTTGTTCATAACGACTTTTCAGTGGTGATGAACATAGAGTAAAGTGAGACTTGAACACATTTTTGCCGTACGCCTGGCCTAACGTGAACACCCTACGGGTTTGTTCAGAATCGGATCAGAATTGGTCAGGCGTACTTTTGTGCACTACCAAGAGTGAGCAACTACTGAGCTCTTGTGAGTGGTAAGGAGTGCGATCAAATATTCATGCAAGTTTCTTTCGTCTTAAGAATGACGGCTCCTGTAAATCCTTTTCATTTTGCAGCTTGCGTCGTCAGATCACTGCCATCAACAAGCTCGCCGATCGAGGCTTGTACTTCTTTGACTACGGCAACGCTTTCTTACTGGAGGCTAGCAGAGCAGGTTGGTTCTACAAAAAAATGTATAACAGTATTTGATGTTTCTTTCCCATTGGAGCAGTGTTTTCGGAGGTCACTGTGATACCCCTGATCAGTGGGCTGATAGGCTCGGTGCGCGAACACGAGAGGGCGCTTTTTTACCACTTTCACGCACGACTGATTTTATTCTGAATGTGTACAAAGCAACAGCATCTTTCGCGTGAGCGTCAGGCGTTATCATCAATGCGTTTGAATGTCTCTCCCTTTGGTCTCCCCCAACTCTCCCTTTCTTGCCGTTGAGGGGGTACTTGTGCTCGGAGCCCTTTATACAAAGGATAAATTGTAAAATGCAATAATTTTGCTTATAAATACACTTTTCCCACAACTTTATGAAAATAGCTTGAGTGTGTTGCATTCTGATGCAGTTTTGCTGGAAATTCGAAACTTGCCCTTGTAACCTTATCACCCCTCAATTGTCTTTTCCCGACTTTGTTCATTGGTTTAATTTTTTAGCTCTCATAACCAAAATGCAACTAATTATAAGTTGTTAAATTGGTTTTTTTTTTATTTGGTCATTCAACAAACAGGTGCTGATGTAAAAAAAGAAGGTGATCAGACCGGAAACAGGTTCAGGTATCCCTCGTACGTCCAAGACATCATGGGGTGAGACATTTTATCTTTCAAAAATCTGGCTGAGCTTGTTTTTTTTTGTTTTTTGACGGTTAAATTGCTTTTGATCAGCCAATTTTCATTACTTCTTGTGAATTTCTGAAGTTTAAAGGAGGTATTACTGGCTGAAAACAATAGAGAAAAAAAGACAAAAGGAAAATACGTTAGTGGAGGGCTAGATGGAATTCTGTTATTTCAGAATTAGTCTGAATTCACGCTGCATGATGCAAAACAGACCTTGATTTCCTGTTTTGATGGGTTTTTGTGGTTTTGTTTTTTGAATGTAAGTTTGTGAGAGTATTCCCATACAAAATGTCCAATTCGTGTAGTAAAAGGTCTTTGTGTTAGGCCAACAAATCTGGACAGAAAATTGGTTGCAAAACTTTTCATTTTAACACGAACCTCTGGATATAGTTTTATAGTTTTTTCATATGTTGGTCTTGTTTCCGTAGTGATATATTTTCACTTGGGTTTGGCCCCTTCCGATGGGTCTGCACGTCAGGTGACCCCAATGACCTCGCCACCACGGACGACATAGCGACCACCGTGCTGGAAGACTTCATCAAACAAGGAGGTTAGTATAAATGCTTGAATTAAAGTCAGAGACAATTTGATACCAAAACGACAGATGTGTTTGTAATCTGTTGCCTTGTGACAAGCTGGCCACCTGCTCTTCACCTCACCCGAGAACCCTCCTAGTGTTTGATCAGTCACAGACAGTCAGAAATTCAATCTACACCCCTTACCATAACTTATACACAGGCTAGTCACCAACAGTCACATCATATTTCCAGTAGGCACCGTGACTAGTCAAATTCCTTCAACAGACAAGTAACTGGTACGTGCAGCTGGCCTGTCAATCACCTCCAGTCAAACAAAAGCTGTATCAAGTGAAATAAACAGTCACAGCCAGTCAATCCTACTTTAAGTTATGCAGTCAAGGAGCACTCAACTGTTACAAACAGTCACTTGACTGACTGTGACAGCTGGGATGGCTTTGTTGAATTAGCCAGTCAGAGAGGGAGAGTTTTAAATAAATCAAAAGCTTGCGGATATCTTTTTGATGAAACCAAACCTTATTCTTCTGTGCTAATTTTGGCAAAGAATGGCTTCAAGGGAATATACATCATTTGCTTTTGCTGCAATTTTCAGAAATGGATGGAATTGCGGGGTTGGAAATATATAGCAAATATAGTTACACTGACTTTTTTGAGGTTTTGGGTTCGAAAATGCTATAAAAACCAAGAAAAACAATCATTTTCCTGTAGTCTGGTTCCCTGACTCCATATAAGAAGAAACAGAGCAGTTTACATACATTGGGGAATTGTAAGGTCAGGGAACCAGTCTAGCTGGCTTGTACCCGTTCATAGGTGTGTAATCGATTGCAAACAAGTGCGATGGTCAATTGGGGCCAGTATTTGAAAAAAAGCCAGTTTTTTCCAACGCTGGTCGGCCGACCAGCATTGGAAATTGATACAAAAATACCACTTTTCTTGAAAATGACAGTATACCAGGTGCCATGATTTTACAGGATGCTTTACACTGTCATTCACTAACAGTCCAGCAAGGTATTTCAAAATGATTTGGTAGTTTTATTTTTTGATGTTTGCATATATTGTATTTTCCCTTTCAATTTGGAACTCTTTCATTCTTATGTCTGTTTAATTGTCGCTATTTATGGAGGTAATAATGTATAATATTATGGAAGTAATAATTTTAAAAATTGAACAAGGACATTGACTAGAGCGGGGTTTGAACCAGTGACATTGCTAACTTTGGGTGCATGATCTCGTGGCAAATACGGGTTAATGGTTACTGACTAGTGCCCTTGAATAAAGACATTGGAAAAATGAGGAATCGCCAACATAGGGCTGGATAGCTCAGTTGGTAGAGCACCAGAACGGCAATCCGGGGGTCACAGGTTCAAACCTCGCTCCAGTCAGTTTCATGGTTCAACTTTAAAACTATCCCAATGTACTTAGGCAGTCTCTCTTTGTGGTTTGTTTGAAAATTGTATTTATCAAGTAAATTGTGTCTTTTAATTTAGTCTTAAGGATGAGCATTGATGGAAATTTAAGTACTAATCCGAAGTATTCTTGGAATGTTTTATTCCATAGTTCCAGAGACAACCAAACAGCAATATGAAGATAACATCCGTTGGATCAAGGAGGCTTCCAAGCACAAACTAGTAAGCTCATAGTCTTTTATTGTTAATTTTTTTTTTCACTGGCAGAGTGGAACTTGGAGAATGGATTGGTTCAGTCTTTTCACGTAAATATACCAGGGGTGTGAAATCTCAGATTTCAGCTTTTTTGTTTTGGATTTCAGCTCTTTTCCCTCACTCACTGTGTACAAAAGTATAGGAGATTTCCAAAGTTCAGCTTTTTTACACCTTTTTCAGCTGTTTTCAGCTATTTTTTTATCAGTGGTCACTCACACCCCTGATATAGTTTGTCAAACACTGATTAAAGTTTGAAAACAATAATTAAATTCTGGGGAAAAAAACGTGGACCCTTGAAATTCATTATGTTGACCTGTTTCCAGTTAACCTGGACAAAGATATTCGTAAATTCTGCAGTCACTTAATTTTGTTACTTCTTTGGAATACTACCACAGCCTAAGTTCAGGTTGGGCTTAAGACAAATTACTGAAAATGTAAATATGTTTGTGCCTTTAGAAGCATAATATGCTAATTGGTATACATCATATGATGTTGGGCTTGTATAATGCTTTTCCTCTGCAGATAAAGTCTGGGTTGAGCAAATTGCTTTGCCTAGAAGTGCCAGCTGCCAACGACCAGCATGTTCATTATAATCACATGACATTTGTCTTCCTGGTATCCGTAGGTTGTCGGTTCCCAAGCTCGGATCCTCTACTCAGATCAGCGGGGTCGTATGGCCATCGCGTCGGCCTTCAACCAAGCCGTCAGCGAGGGCAGACTTCGCGGACCGGTCATCATCAGCAGAGATCACCACGATGTCAGCGGTACCGACAGTCCCTTCCGCGAGACATCCAACATTTATGACGGCTCGGCTTTCTGTGCAGGTATATGACACGGATGCTTAGACAATTATCTTTTAGGGTTTGAGCACCATTGTATTTTTGGCTGGCTTTATTATTATTATTATTACTAAATTTCTAATTATGAAACCAAGGATTCCGCAAAAGCCCCCCCAGGTACTGTAGCTCTCGCAAGCCTGAAGAAACCTGTAGAGAGAAGACAATGAGAAGCAATTACAGTTTTAGAGGTGGGAGGAAAACCCCAGAAAATATTCTGGGGAAAACCCACGGAATCATGCAGGGACTGAAACCCAATCCGCATATTGGCCCAGGCGGGAATCGAACCTGGGTCACGGCGGTGGAGCGCCAAACCTGACTGGGGATACACATCACAGAGCTCTTAACAGTTCTGTCACAGACATTACATAATGGAAATGCCCACCTCATGTGATTTGACGTCATATCAGAGAGCAGATCTGTGTTCCTCTGCAATTCGTACGAGGATACATCATTGTAATAAACAATAATAAAAAATGCCCTCACAGAGAACTCAGCATGTCAAGAGTGACTTTCAGTGTGTGTTGTTTTTTTTCCATGATGTGACAGATATGGCCGTGCAGAACGTGATAGGTGATTCCTTCCGCGGTGCGACCTGGGTGGCCTTGCACAACGGGGGCGGTGTGGGCTGGGGCGAGGTCATCAATGGAGGGTTCGGTCTCATGCTGGACGGCGGAGAGAGGGCGGAGCAGAGGGCTAAATCCATGCTAGCCTGGGACGTCAGTAACGGGGTAGGTGTGGCCATCGTGGTCATTTTAAAAAAAATGTTTGTAATGTTTTTTTCTTTGTTATGTGTACATCAGCATTCATGAGGTCATAAGCCATTTCGAGGATACTGCCATCTTTGTGATCACACAGTAACTTGGGGGGCATTTCAATGAAAATATCTCCCATCCTGCAACTGTGACCTGAGCATGATGGGATGTGTTATCATTGAAATGCCCCCCCCCCAAAAAAAATGATCACGTCAATACGATGATGGCAGTATCTGTCAAACGGCTTACAAGGACAGGACTTTCGCCTAGTAAGTTTCTTTTTTACGTAGGTACTATTGATGTATGGCGAGGCGATACATCAACACAAACCAGTAGTTGCCGGAAATAATTAGCTGCTGTATATATAGCTTTTCATTAATTCCAGATTCTTTGAATTCAAATAAAGACACTTAATTAACTCTGTAGTGAAAGAACTGCATTATAAGACAGAATATCGGCCAATACGGCGAAACAAAATTACAAGCCATTATTCAGGTAGCGCAACATCCGCGCGCATGCCACACGTGTTTTTAAAGACAAGGCGCAAGCGCATTTTGGTAACCATATTCAGAGATGAAACTGGCTTATGGCAAAAAAATCAGAAAATAGGCCGAACAAAAATACATGTCCGAAATCTGGGCCGCGCTGCAGTTACACACATGTACATGCATGTACAATACACTTCATGCCAAATTTCTGGACACCAACTCCTGCTTTATTTTCGATTCAAACAAAATTTTACGATGGAAAAAAAATGGTCAGTGTTTTCATTGCATAAAACGCCTGAAAGTACGGTTAGAGTAATGGAGTCATCAACAAAGAAGTTCACTTCTTACTTGAGAAAGTCGAGGAAAAAGTCCGAAAGACAAGGCACCGTTCATGGTGCTTCAATCATGTCCATGATTCAACCACACAACTCCACTACTCCACTTGCATTCGTACGTGGGGAAAAATCAGTGATTTTTCCATGTCACCCGTCAATGTTTAACCTTTTGTCCAGCCGCAAAAGGCTCCAATCAGTGTTATGGCCTGTGTTTCTACCGTTGAAACACTCCAATAATGACTGGTGAAAGAGATTAAAACTACGTTCGCGATGATTTTAACGTGCCATTTCCATCGACTTTTCTTCGAAATTATGATTGAAATAAAATGACATTTTGTGAAAAAATCGTTACAAAATCAAATTTTGTGGGACACATTGTTAGAAACTCGGAAATTTCGTTGGAAAATTCAAAAAGTCGGATTTCCGATTAAAATCGGAAAAGTTTCATCTCTGCATATTGGTCGAAGGGGCCCGGAGTGCGTGCGTACTACCTGAGCACGACTCGCGCAAGCCCGGTGCCACCGCAGAAAATGGCCGTCACCCTTATTAGTCTATAGACAGAATTATCAGAAAGAACTCCTAGGTCGGTGATGAATCTGATTTTTTTGTGGTGGTTGATATTTCTTACAGGTTGCTCGGCGGAGTTGGTCAGGTAACACCAAAGCCCAGGAGACCATCTGCCACGCCATGCAGGCCAATAGCAAGCTCAAGGTGACCTTGCCCCACAACGTCCAATCAGACGTCCTGGATCGAGCCTTCAGAAAATAACTAGGCTGGAGGGTCTCTCGGAATGTAACTAGGAAAGGGTCTCTCAGATACTAAGCAGGCTAGGGTTCTTGCCAAAACTAACTAGGCTAGGGGGTTTTTCAGATTATTTGAACACGGCAGGAAACCTATTCATGCAATCAGAATGCATTGTATTCATTTCTCGTTATTAAGAAATCGTGTTGAAAATGTTTGTCTTTCATATGTGTGTTGAGCAAATTTCTCAGACATATGGCCCACTTTGTAGACCAAGTAAAAAAAACCAACTTGTTTCCCATTCCTGTCCGGTTCCTTTTTTCCCGGCCGCCTTCTTAATTTTTTTTTTTTTATGCCCCGCCGGCGAAGCCAAAGGGGCTTACTGTTTCCGCCTTGTCCGTCCGTGTGTGTGTGTGGTTGTGTGCGTGTGGGTGTGCGTGCATTTATAGCTATTGCAGTACTATGTATGGGTTGTGCATGCATGTGGGTGTGCGTGTGCGTGCGTGCGTGTGCGTGCGTGCGTGTACATTTGGTTCCACAGCGATATCTGGATTGTATGTCCATGTATACCTTGAAACAATGAAGGTAGCTTGCTAGTATAACTTATAGAAAATGAATAAGTTTGGACCCCATAAGACAAAGGCCAGGATTTTTTTTTTTTTTTACCAAACCATACATGTGCAAATGTAATCACTCACTAAAATATTGGGGGGCCTGTACAGTTAATACATGTTTTTTGTATAATCAATGTGGCTTCTCCACCCTTTTTTCTTGGACAGTCATATTTTAAATTGAAACAGAAAAAGTTTTCTCAACAAACACATGTACATGTAACACTAAAACTTGAGACCTGCACCGTAGTACATGTACATGAACACGTATATGCAGCTCCGTGGGTTGTTCTTAGGATTTTGAGTCACTTTCGGACCCCATGGGCCAACTGTTCTCATTATTAAAAACCAAAGAAATGATGTCATGATGATAACTCAAGCTTATTCAAATAACCATATTTTCTTTTGATTATTTAAAAATTCTTATTTCCATGTAGGCCTTGTAAATGCTCAAAGGATTATGCTAAAAGGATTTGCCTTTGAGAAATGTCTTGCTTAAGACTGAAAATATCCAGTCAGTTTGCTTAAATCACATACAATGACTTCCCAACAGAGAAGCAAAAACCAAAAATTAATTATGGGATCATTGGCATCAGTACGTTACATATATAGCCTAAAGAAAACAATAACGATGTCAATGAATGTTCCATGTGATCCAGGTAAGTTGATGTTAATAGAGTGGTGTTATGCCATGGAAATAGGCATGGTTGCGGGGCATTTGTGTTTTTTAACACTACTTTGCTTGTTTTTTTTATTCATACCTTTCCAATATATTTTGCACATTGTCAATACATTGTCTTTTTATTATTTCCAACAAAAAAAGTAGCTATGTAGAAAAGGGTTATGGTTTCTTTGGGTATAATTTTGTATTGGCAAAATAGTTGAGAAAAATGAAGAATCCATCTGCCACCTTGGAAAATCTACCATCTTGGGGAAAAAAAAGAGGGAAAAAGCGCCTGCTTCCTTCATTTAAAAAAAAGAAAGAAGCATGACAAGAAACTACTTATTATTTGTTTTCTCAGCCTAAGCAAGTTTGAATGAGAACCATAATTACCAATTGTTCAACTACCTTGGCTGGGACCCATGTCGGCTACCGATATTTGGACTAGCATGGACTAGCATGGATACCAGCCGATCAAGTCAGTGGCATCGCAGGTTAAGATAGCCGCACGCATCATCATGTATAGCAAGGAGCTAGGAGTAAGGATCCCAATGATATTTTTACCTAGTGTGACTAGACATGATCACCTACAAACGTTGCTATTATTGTGCAGGTTAAGTAATGTCACGAATTAACCACTAGTGCACAAAATTAATGGTACCCAATCGAATATGGTCTGAATTGTACAGAACAACTGTTCCCCAAAATTTATTCTGAACAATACCTGGCGTATGCTTCTACCGGTGCTAAGGGGCTTGGTGACTGAGCAATCAGGTAATCACATGCGAGGATAAAATATTTTAACCCCCCCCCCCAATTTTTTTTTTATTTTGGATGTATCAGGTTCAGCTCAATTTTATGTTGGGCAATAGTGGCACTCATTTCCGCACTGTAGTGAGATATGAGGTAAAGTGCTGAGGCTTCTTTCATATTTAAGAGTTTAAACAAATTTATTTGGGCAACAGTGGAGTGGACGCCAGAACGAAACAACCAGTGTCTGACATAATAAAATTTGCTTCAGATTTGGAAAGTAGGAGGAATGCAAAGCATCCCAACTATTTGACTGAAGAAAACCCCACAGCCTTTTCCTACAAGCACATTTTACTTAAGTTTAGTTTTAACGGTTTTCAGGGTTTTCTGTAGTTGATGAGAGCCAACTTTTGTAGCATTTTGAATTATGTTTTCCTGTAATGCTTAATTTTTTCTTCCTTTTCTGTCTTGTTTTGACTGTCTTCCATCTGAAATAGTTTTGGTGGTGTTTCCATTTTGAAAGGAAATACAGATGTCTAATCATTTAAAAGAAATTATATTATCGTCTGTGGACATTCATAAGATTACATTTCTGGATATTAAAAACATCACTGAATTGTTCTTGTTTGTGTGGCGTTTCCCAAAATAAAATCCTATTTTGGCATCTTAACAATTTGTGGAGCATGGTGTTACTACAACGTGTAAAAGATTCTCAAAGTTGTCAAGGAAATGATGCAAAAGTCCTTTAAATTCAAAAGTCTTTCTCAAAAGTTGAGTGAAATAAAGAATATCTTAAAAGCACAAAAGCCAGTATTTTCTTTTGCAGTTCCCCTCATCCAGTGTTGTTACAATAATATTTATAATAATAATTTTTTTGGGGGGGGTGGGGGCTAATCATCCTTAATCAAACTGAGAAGCTGATTTGCGAAGGAGGCGGCTACGTTGTCAAGCCGAAGGCATGTAAAGGCACCTTGGGCAGCCACCATATAGGGGTCAAGTCTGGCCACAGAGCACAGCAGAGATCGAAAGTGTTTGATTTTTACAGAGGGAGGAAAACCGGACAGCCCGGAGAAAAACCCTCGTGGCACAGGAGAGAACCAAGGCACAACTCTACTCACTATGGTCTGAGCCGGGAGTCGAACCCGGGCCAATTTATCTCAATTTAAAACTTTTCCATAAGTTTAGAACTTAAACAGTTCAATAAGTTCAGAACTTTTATTGCCAATTTAAACACCACAGCGCCACCTTCGGCAACATGTGCAGTGACAGTGCAATGGTACTTCTAATCACGGTGCAATAGTACTTCCATGCGCGCGCCGTGCTTTGGTACGAATAATTCAATGACATGTGATCAACGATCCACCAATCAGATGACAGGGATTTATTCAGGTGTTGTATAATATATTACAGACATCGCCATTAAAACCAATCACCACACAAAATATCCATTACCATACAGGGTGGCCACCCAAAAAGTTTACACTTTTTCAGACGCAGATTTCTCAAAATTGGGGAGACATATGGAAATTGTTTTAAAATATTCCTAAACTACAAGGTCTTGGTGGCATATGGTGAAAATGGCATTAAAAATAAAGCCTTAATTCAGAAATGACGGCCACTTACATAAAAATGGTCAAAAACAATTTATCCACACGTTTGTATGAGATACATGTGTGGCCATCGTTATGGCAGTTCTTTGTGCACGCAGTGCTATTGTGTTGACCAAGTTTCATAGACTTGCATGTGGACAAAAACGGGGGTTTTTTTTACCGTTTCTTTGTAAATGGCCGTCATTTCTTAATTGAGGCTTTATTTTCAATGCCATTTTCACCATATGCCACGAAGACCTGGAAGTTTAGGAATATTTTCAAACAATTTCAATATGTCTCCCCAATTTTGAGAAATCTGCGTCTGGAAAAGTGTATTGGAGGCCACCCTGTATAACATAATGAAAGAGTTTCTAACTAGAAATAAAGATCACTCCAAAAATTTAGGTTCTACTTTTTTTTTAATACATTGTTTGTATACTGAATTATGAACACACCCAAATCCAACAATACAAACCAAGGAAATATTAATTACCCTCTAAGAACCACGAGAAACACTCATTTAATTGATCAACATCAGACGAAAGGACTCTTAGAATGAATTTTTCATTCGATTGACATCAAGACGTAGGACTTTAAAGCACACAGGCAGAACTTTAAAATACCCTATTTTTTGTCAAGAATTGTATCTTGAGGTAGACAAAGACAAAAACGAATATTTTTAAAATGAACATAAAGATACTACATGTACGTATTTCAGAGCGCCACCAAAAATAAACAGAAAAAGGATAAAACTATTAATTCCCAGAAAAATATAAAAATGAAATATATGGATAAATGGTACTTCAAACATGGTATAAAAGTAAAGTAAACTATAAAGTGCAGCACCAGAAGAATACCTTGAAGCCACTAAATTCGAACTAGCTCACATCAGGCTAAGAAATCAGCCATAAAAACATAACCACACAATTAAGAACTATCCGATCTTAAAAACAACCCCGACATCGTAGTCAAACCATATGACAAAGGCAGGGGCATCTGCATTATGAACCACTCTGACTATCTACAAGTGGGTTTAATTACCGTCACCTTGAGTCCCATCATTACACCCAACTGGACCAAGACATTACCCCACAAACCATCACTATGGTTCACAGCACACTGATAGAAATGAGAAACAACAAACACATCAACAACGATACTCTGAAATACCTCAACCCACTTCCACAAAACTGTTAATGCCCAACCATGTATTTTCTCCCCAAAATACACAAAACCCCACCACCGGGAGAACCCTTTGTTGGACACTGTAATGATGGGACTCAAGATGGCGGTAACCCATTTGTGGTAACAGACCAGTAAATAAACTTCCATAGACCCCAATGGTAAATGCTCCCACTTCAGAAATTCGGGAAAAATACTCACAACTCTCCAAGGTGTTCGAGACACACATCAAATTAAAGCTTATTTCATCATCTTTCATTTTCTTTTCAATTTTCGGGGGGTCAACTGATGACTTTTAGGAGAAATTTCCATCTGAAGATGATCACCCCTGAAAATAGTCCTGAAGCCCATCGCCATTTTGAAAAACGATGCCTACACTCCATTGCAAAATAGAGCGCTTTTAGGGTCCAAATTACATCCAAATTACACAGAACTGCAAGCTCCCAGTCCTGTGCACGGCTTCCACCCATATTTTTTACAAACCCTCAAGTTCATGGCCCACAGCATGCTCAAATACTGAAGATTTTGAGGGCATGCAAATCGTGATTTGGCCGGTGTAGGCAATTTCAGACCGATTTACTGGTCTGCACCCTTGTAGATAGTCTGAGTGGTTCATTATGCAGATGTACAAGCCCTACGGCAAACATTTTGGAAAACATAAATTATTTCCTTCTTCCTATAGTAACCGCACAACCCACATATGTCCGCAACACAGCAGACATTTTGCGCAAACTAGAAGAAAGAAAATTTCCACAAGACATTCTAATCACCAGAATAGATGTTGTACACAAATGTCCGACAAACGGAAGCAATCCAATACTTGCTGTTTTCCTACCCTGCTGCTTGTTAAATAAGCGTGACATTTCGAACAGTCCGATTTAAAATTTTTGAATAACTTTGGAATTTTCAATTTCAAAAACCAATGCGGCGTTTGAAAGAGCAAGGTCTATATTTTACTAATATTGCAATAACTCAAAATTGACTTCTTGCCCAAAAGTGCCCGATTTCGATACACCATGTCACATATTATTATCAGTACTTCTGCTATCCATGGCAAGGGAACATCTTAGTGTACTTTCAACAAACTTAAATCTAGCAAAACACCTTTAGAAATGTTAAACGTTTTGTAACTTGAAAACCACATATTCGGTAAGTATAATTTCAGACGTGTGGAGTACATTGAAAATAGATGTGTGATATCTGAAAGAAGACTTGTGCATGTTATGAAAAAGTAAAGTATTTGAGGCAAAAAATAGGCAAGTTATTTCAGTAGAAGCTTTTGCAGATGAGCTAGAGGCAAATGCATTTTGATGGAAAAATTGTTGTCGATTTTTTTAAACCTAATGTTCAATGCACCTCTTTTTTCCCGACTATTTCTGACCTAAATTTTATTAAAATAAACCTCACCACATGATATATTACCATATTCATTTTCTAGGGAGAACTAACGTCCCGTGCAATGATCGATCAAAAAAAAAACCCCACCAAAAAGCAATTTCATCTAAATGTGCAGACCTTCTTATTACAGTACACACGGATCAACTGTTCTACACAATTGAAAGAATTTGCAATTTACATCGAATTCTATCAAGCTACAGCAAACCAGCAACAGATGTTATAAATGAAGAGTTCATTCAGGCTGACCTCAGGTTGACCTGCGATATGCTTGCCCCGCGACAGTCATGGATGATGGTCAGGGCGTTCGGCATTTGGGTCCGTGATTGATAGTATCTAGCCGCTAAAGACATAAACACTAGCTGCCCACTATGCACCGCAGAAGAACGAAACTGTGTCTGTGAGCGCTTTCATTTTCATTTCACAATTTTCCATGTTAGTTTTAATATGATTATGTCACTTTTGTCACCATTGTACAATAATATTGGCGATAATGTAAGATGTCCTAAACTATACACAATCACTATTATTTGTGTTAATAAAGAGAAACAACAAGTGTTGAATAATTGTGCGACCGCCATTTTCTGACGGTCGTTGACGTGACATGACAATAGTTTGACTAGAGTCGTTCGCACTTCAACTTCAGTGCGCATGCTCACACACTGCACACTTACGTGGGGAATAACGTGTGCTTAAACAATGCTACACTGCTACAAAGTTTAAGTATGGGGAGAAAAATATCACCAACTTGTTTCATCTTATAATAGTTTATGCGATACCCGCTGCTATGTACATGTACATCAGATTCGAACCAGCCAACCGATCCCGTTAGCTCAGTGGTCGAGTGGTAAGACATCTGCACTAGAAAGCAGGAGGTCGTGGGTTCGAGTCCCACCCGAGTGATTTTTTCCAACTTTCACTCGGGAGGTACCACACTGAGTATACAGTGTTTAAACGTCGGTGAAGGGCAAAACCTAATTTGATCAACTTGTTTTTGTAGTAGTACTAGAGTGCTCTTGGCCACCATTTTTGTAACCGTCGGTGTTCTTTTTACTTCATGCGCTTGCGCTTTACAGGGCTGTTTCCCAAGGAACTGCCTGTAGGGGAGATGGGCCTAGCTCCCTTCAGATGCTCTGTGTGATAGTTGTCCATGTATGGCTTGACCACTTTCCATACCTGCAACATGAAATTCCGACAAAAGCAGAGAATGTAGAGAATGCGTCATTCATTGCCTTCTTTCTGACTGCATGTGTGGCATGTGCAACAGTTTAAGATCAGCACAATTCTCTGCTCTATTAGCTTACTAGTGTACAAATAATGACTGTTTGTGAGTGGAATGGTTGGAATAATTTCATGAGGTGACAGACGGAATGTTCCATTCCACAAGGCGAAGCCGAGTGGAATGGAACATTGCATCTTTTATGGCAAATTATTCTTTCCATTGCATGAGTGTAAACATTCATTATTTGTTTTACAAATGTGTACTGCTCTTTGTAATAAGAGCAGTAAATAATTCTTTTGGGCAAATGGAACATTACCTTCTCTTCTTGTAGTAGTTTAGTAGCTGCCTCAATGTCGGGGGCCATGTAGCGATCCTTATCCCACGGTCTGTGCATTAAATGGTGAAAAACAAAAATCACAATACTGAAACTGATATGGCCTGCATGACTCATGCATAAATACGCCCATATTTGTTGTGCACACAATTTTTTTTATGCAGTCTGCGTCAATGAATGACCAACTTATTGCCTGCATGCAAAATGTCCTGCCATAGCTCATGCGAGTCGGTCAACCAAAGACTGAATGCTTAATTTGACATACAGTGTCACAGTTTCCTATGTAAAAGTATGTCACTCACAAGCCAATGTGGCCCATCAGACCGGCGTTTATCTCCGGTTTCAGTAGCATTAAAACGACTGAGAATATTTCTATTCCCCCTGGATGGGATGCTAGTCCATCGCAGTTTACTCCCTAGCTAATGCTGGGGAGTACTGTGGCCTCGTGGTTAAGGGCACTGATTCGTGGTCTGCGGGTAAAGCTGCAGGTTGTGGGTTCGAGTCCTGGCGGGGTCATGGTGCGTGTGCCCTTGGGCAAGGCACTTTGTCACTCATTGCTTCTCTCCACCCAGGAGTAAATGGGTACCTGTGAGGGCATAGATGGTTATTGTGATTGAATTAGCTTCCTTGCGCCTAACAGGCTGCATCGAGCTGTATACTCCCAGGGAGCTGAGATGGTATTTGGAATGTTTTATGTGCCCAATGAGCAGGGGTAATAATGATGTAGCGCCTTGAGCACCAGTCCTGGTGGATACGTGCGCTTTATAAATATCCATTATTATTATTATTATTAATGCCGGTACCCATTTATACTCCTGGGTGGAGAGAGGCAAAGGAGGTGAAGTGGCTTGCCCAAGGACATAACATAATGTCCAGCGGCTGGATTGGAACCCCTGACCCCCTGATCATGATTCACGAACCCTAACCGCTAGGCCACACTCCCCAGCTAATGCCGGCACCCATTTTTACTCCTGGGTGGAGAGAGGCAAAGGAGGTGAAGTGGCTTGCCCAAGGACATAACATAATGTCCAGCGGCTGGATTGGAACCCCTGACCCCCTGATCATGATTCACGAACCCTAACCGCTAGGCCACACTCCCCAGCTAATGCCGGCACCCATTTATACTCCTGGGTGGAGAGAGGCAAGTGGGGGTGAAGTGGCTTGCCCAAGGACACGACATATGACCAGCAGCTGGATTCGAACCCCTGACCACGAGTCACAAACCCTTACCACTAGGCCACACTCCCCCTATGAAAAAGACTGCACAAATATTGGGACTACAAGATGAGAAATGAACGACTCACGCCACGACTGAGCGGACAAGTTTGTAGACTTCCTCCAGTGGAGCCGTAGTCTTCAGCGGACGAAGGAACTCGATGCCTTGGCACGCTGCCAACAACTCAATGGCCAGTACTGAATACAGAAGGAATGGTTAAATAAAGTTGAAATATTTATATTGGGTTGCTGTTTGATAATTAAAAACAAACTCTCTTTCTAAAAGTAACAAAAAATTATGTGGGATATATGTGATGCAATCAAGCTATTCTGAGTCATTTGTCTGGAATTTTCATTTGGAGATACAGGCCAAAATAAGGGCCACTTCATCACATCGCTTCATCACATCTCTTGGTGTTCCGACTTCCATAATTTTTTAACTAAAGATGGTATCATCATGCGGTTTTCACAGCAGTAATGCTGAGATGGTGCTCTTTTCAAATCTGTAATAAAAAAAAATTTCGACCAGGGTTGACAAACGACTCATGTAGCTTGATCGCATCACATATGTTGGAAAATCTTCAAGTCTTAAATTAGTCTTAGCATGACACTAGACAGAAGATTGAAGTGTTTTGATGTTAAAAGAAAAGTTTTGAAAAAAATCATCAACCTTGCTCGACATGCTCCACCACGGTCAGACATTTTCTGGCTGAGAATCCTCCCATGCTGACGTGATCCTCTTGGTTGGCGCTCGTGGGAAGCGAGTCCACGGACGCCGGGTGAGTCAGCACCTTGTTCTCGGAAACTACACAGAGAATGGAAAGTAGGAATTTGAAAATATTTCAGGTTTTTTTTAATAAGTTAACACCAGGGGCCAATTTCATAGAGCTGCTTAAGCACAAAATTTGCTTAAGCACAAACACGTCTTGCTTAATAAAATCAGGTTACCGGCCAAAACTCCATGCAATTGTTATGCTAAGTAAACAACAGCTAAATACCAGTCACAAGCAATGTACATCACATGGAGTTTTGGCCGGTAACCTAATTTTACTAAGCAATGTTTTTTTGTGCTTAGGCAAATTTTCTGCTTAAGCAGCTCTATGAAATTGGGCCCAGAAGACATGTAAACACAATCTGGCAATGCATATTCGCAGGGACTGGTGACGGGTTAAATCGTCAAGCTTTCACCGGGTCTCTGGTGGTGGACGTATATACACGTCAGTGGTTCCCATTAGTTTTGTACACATCGTGTTTTGAACTTGCACTGGGCCGCTGTTCTGTTGTTGCAGGGCCTCAGAGTGTTGCAAAATAGTTACGGTGGAAAGTATCATACACATATTGTACAACTGACTCTCAAGAGTCAGTATTTGTGGTGTTTGACTTAATTTTAAAATTTGGTCGACACATCTTGTTTTTGTTTTTTTAAAGTGTGGGGTTTTTTTGGCCAAAAATAATCCTGGCGTGGTTAGTGGTTAACATTTGGTTTGCCTTTTACTGACAAAATTTCAAAGCACTGTATACTCAGTGCTGCTAGAGAGAATGTGTTTAAAAAAAAAAAATTATAGGCTTCCTTAAGTGGACCTAGAACCCTCAACCTCCTTATTTTATGCAGGAATGATGAATAGTGATCCTATGCTGTTTTTTGTGTGTGTTTTACCTAGTGCAGCTGCTGTGCAGTGAGCTATCATGAAGCCAGAATTGTTTCCTCCATCATTCACCAGAAACGCTGGTAGTTCACTCAGGGCTACATAAAACAAAACAAAAACCAGCAGTTAATTACAGCCACTCCTTGCAGGGATTATTTGTTTCAAATTGACAGACAATATTTCCTTAGAACTTTTTTTACCCTGAATTGCAGACTGTAAATTACAGACCAAATATCCAGGCACAGAGTTCACAGTCTTTGTGTTACCCAGTAATGGTGGAAGCATTGTGCCAGACATTGTACAGTGTGTCTAAAAAAAATTTAAACAAAATATAACAGAATGCCAGACGTAGAATGTGTAACCAACATAGATAGTACAGGTATGGTTTGAAAGATACGCCTTTCCACTTTAAAATAAGACATCAAACATCCAAATCTGATAATTTTTGACAGAGTTATGAGTCATTTTCCAAAAGAGGTCAAATTGACCATGGGACCAAGTTTTCAATTTTAGGCATTGGGACAAAGGTAGCCTAATTGCCTGTGTGTGGATATTTGCCTGGCCTACAAAAAAATGGGTTTGGCAAGTAAACACAGCTCTAAACACTTTCTTGCTATCACCTCATGCTAAAAATGTTCAGCATGTAAACATGTTTACAAACTGATAGCTAAACACATTTTTGTAGGCCAGGCAATTATCCACACAGAGGCAATCAGGCTACCTTTGTCCCAATGCCTAAAATTGAAAACTTGGTCCCATGGTCAATTTGACCTCTCTTGGAACATTACTCATAACTCTGTCAAGAATTTTCAGATTTGAACGTTTGATGTCTCATCTTAAAGTAAAAATGCGTATCTTTCAAACCATATCTACATTATCCATGTTGGACACATATTCTACGTCTGACATTCCATTATATTTTTTTTGAGACACACTATACAAATCAACTGCTTCAGGACGACTACTCAATACAAATTCTTTCGCCATTACCGCGGGGACCACCGTGAGTGAACAGTGTCAATGTGCCTGGCTTTGTCTATAGTGGTGGGGCATCTCTTAACAGGGAGTCTGTCCTCTAATAAAACAATCTGCACTTTTTCATCTTAAAATATCAGATAAAAATGATGTAAAGTGTTAATCTGGGATAACAACGCAGTTCCCCCTGAAGCGTTTGCCTCTAAGACTCCACTTTTCAACTTCACTCGCTGTTGACTTCTTGCATGCTAGTATTGTCCCGCCTTGGTTCGTATGTCCTTCGTAGTGTATGTGTGGTACACACACCAACGCATTGGACACCTCGATCATCAACAAAAACAAACGTTAGTCCCAGAATGAATATCTGACTTAGAATTGTGCACATCCACAGAAACGTCCTTGTCACCTAGTGAGAAACAAATACTGACGGTCTGGAAACGTCTACAAATGGATGTTAGATTCTTCTCATGATGCACTATATGCTGGAAGAGCCGGACTTGCTTTTCTGTTTTGTGAATCTGGCCAGCAGACTCTTGACCTTTGACATTCAGTTTACGTGACCCCTGACCTCTCAGTTACGGCTGGCACATGACCTTTATGGGAAAGGGTTGACCTACAATCAACATACATGGATTAACAAGTCTTTCAGTTCGGCGTTCGCTGATGCATGCCAGCTCGTGGACACCGATAGCGAGATAGTCCAGCACCTGTTAGAATGACAGACCAATCAATATCATTAATAAATTTGAAACGATTTTATGAGCTTTGGAAACACAAGTGAGAGATTGGTGGACCCCCACCCCCCCCCCAAAAAAAAAAACCAATCCCACAAACACAAACTGGAGTTACAAGTTATCATGACTGAATATATCACTATTCATATTGTTTCAAAGTCAAGTTTCTTTAACCCTAAAAGGGCTGGGGGGGGGGACCTGAATTGTTTTAGCAATATTTTCGCCAAATGCCTGTTTCTCGCTGAGCTTCATGACTTTTTAGCTTCAAGTCTGGCGCACGCTTCGCTTCCAAATTTATGTGATAATTGATTCTTCAAGACTGTGGCCTAGAACTGCAGGGCTTGATGTCATCGGCCTGATCATGCTACCCCGGATTGACCCGACGATTGTTGCACTGGTGATAAGACCAAACTCTCGTTACAAATGTGACCCTGAACTGAACTTACATTAAATTGGTTACAATACATTGGTACCTTTTGGAAAGCTCTGTATTTTAACAGTATGTTCAGATTTCCACACAAAAAAACACCTGCTTTTGTGTCTCTAAAAATTGGTTGAAAGTGCTGACCATTTGTGGCCATTACAGTCAATTTACTTCTAGTTGCTGGTTACTGAGGTGTTATAAAAAGCACCAAATCTTTTACTCATATATGAAACCTTTTCTGTACTTACATAATGTGCTCAACTTTATACCACAAGGTTTGTGCACGCAATTGTGCTCGTTGTAAGTGTGTGTTTCTGTATGTGTATCGTCTAGGGCATTGGAACATGTACAAAAACTCTGTGCGCTTGTATTATTATTAGTACGTAAAATGAGGAAAATATGGTCTGAGCAGGTGGATTTAACAGAAAACGGGACAAACCTTGGCAGGGTACTCCCCATGAAAGTTGCCACCAGAAATTGTCTCTTGACGATCGGCAAAAACCATCTGGTAAACAGGTCAAGTCAAGGAACAACAGCCAAATTTCATTTGTCTCATGGAAAATATATTCGTAAAAAATTGATAGAGTCTGGAAACAAAACATTTAGGCCATCAGCCTGGGGGTTTGGTCGGTATCAAAGGAGGGGAATAATGGTCATTGTGATTTTTGGCAAGGTATACATCCCTGTAGTTGGAAAATATGTGATAGCATTGCAGCAGTGGCAGCTTTTTGGGTGCTATCACTTTAAAAAAAAAAATGGCAGCCAAAACATGTTTGTTACCATTATAATTAATCCAGTTCAAGCATATTGGCGGCCATTGTGAAAACGAAAAAATTTAAATGTGATAACACCCAAAACACTGCCAACGTTCACACTACAAAGCTATCACACATTTTCAAGTTCTAGATGTGTATACCTTGCCAAATATTGCTATGAACACTGCTCCTTTCGATCATTTGATACCGGTGGCCCAATTTTTGGACCGAAGCTGATAGCCTAACCCCATGCGTACGGGAAGAGGTCATGGCCGCGGCCGCTAATCCTCATTGGAATGCAGTTGCCAGCTGTGGTATGCCGTGGCACACAGCTAGTGGGTAGTTCCACAGCTGCTGCTTTTGTGCAGTCCCGCTACCACACAAAGGCTGTGCAGTCATGCGGGCCACTTGCTCTATGTGTGGAGGAATGTCCCCATTACACCCCGTCCTTAAGGGGCTAATTGAATCTTTATTTGTAAGGATACCGGGTTGTCTGTTGCACTGTTCAGCTCGGTCGTCAAGATGCCTTTCACAAATTCAATGGTGTCATTGACGATACCGTGAACCTGAGATGGAAAAGGGAAGTGTTTTTTCAACCCAATGTTCAAATTCAAGTGACATCAGACATTGACAGAAAGATAAAGACGACGTGCAAGTGGCATTCACAATACAGTTTTATGCATTTTTCTTTCTGACAGGAAAAAACGGACACCAAATTTAGTGAATCACAGAATGACCCACATATGCACGTCATTAAACTCTCTCTACCTGTGGGCAGCAGCGCAAGGTGTAGGCGTCTTGCACACGGTCACAAAATCGATGGCTCTCGGAAATTTCTGAGGGATGGACGTCTGAGGCCAGGAGAGACCGCAGGTTGCTGGCCACTTTCATCTGACCTTTATGGGGTCTGGCTGCGTGGATGTCTACATCGGGTTAAGAGAGATGCAAAAGACATGATTGTTGATTAAAAAGCGCCCTCTGGAAAGTGGTGTTAGTCAAAAATAAAGCTTTGCAGATACAGGCAAAAAGTTTGTTTTGCAATATTCATAAATGTGATGCTTGGAGTCACTCACCAATCTTCAGTTTTCACAACTTTGCTATATTTAACTATATTTACATGAAACCTAGTAAATAAGCCGTAAAAATCAATCAGAGATGCCACAGGGTCTGCTTGAAAAAAACGGAACTGGGTCTGCTTGAAAAAAAAAACGGAACGGCTGCTTGAAAAACCGGACTTTTTTGTGTGTGAAAAAGCCACTCCGTGTCCGACACAAAGTCCCCGTTGTCATCTTTATCTTGTAGCCAAGCCAAGTTCTGTTTATTTTTAAATTTTGCTTCTATGGCCTTTAAAGCGGTCGGTTCATTCAATCACTTTGACTTTTTCCATATTCCTAATATTTATTCTGCCTACCCGAATTTCCAACGTAATATTCGACACGAAACATGCATGATTCCACAACACTGCTGTCGGTGTACATGATCCTTGCACTACGCGATGCGCTCAACGAAAACATGGTTGTTACCCGCATTTTTTGTATTCACATATATCACTGCGATCGGAAACCACCGATAGCTGAAATGATAGACTTGATTTCCAGGCTGAATGCTACGTGTGCTTAGCACACAACACGCCCGCACGCAGTGAAGCACGCGCGAGGCGCCGTTGTATGCTGCGTGCAATTAAGTACGTTGGCCGCTTGTATCGCATGCAGGTTCGGCAACAACATACACAAAGACTGTTTTTAAGACTACTTCAACGAACAACGTTGTGCCATGCGTGCGCCTAAATGTACTAAATCGAGGTAAAAATCAACGCATTTCCACAGTTTTTCTTCTCTTTTTCTGGTTAATTTGATCGCCGGAAAAAACAGAATTTTGTGAAATTTTTTTAAAAAACCGGAATTCCGCTTAAAACCGGAAAAGTGGCATCTCTGATCAATTGACCAAAATGTTCTTTTGGGGGGGGGGGGGGGCTGTTTACTTGAGTTGCTGTGAGTGGTAATTAAACTGTTTCCTTTGAGATCATTTCAAATCGAAAGGAGGTTACGGAACTACCCTAAAAATTATCCAGGTTTGCATGTAGGAAAACAATTTCATTCTGTAAGTTTTATATGTTTGTCTGTCGGTCTTTTATACGTACTTTGTATATTTTCCGGTTTAAGTAACTCTTTTGTTGTTTAATAAACCCATTAAAACACACACAAAATCTCGCATAGAGAAGACTTTTTTTATTTTCAAAATAAGTTGTGTGGCACTAAAAAGTTTGGAGTCAGCAATCTGGCTGCAAAAATCCAGGTGAGTCGGGCTTCTTTATACGCGCAATATGTTTTTCTGGCCTGAAGTACCGGTATTCAGGAAGTTAAGGTCCAGCCACTTTAACTGTACACAGGACTTTATGCCACCTTGTAAGTTCGAGTACAAAGGAGTGGAGAATTCTAGGAAGTTTATATGAAAAATCGCCTCTGGAGTTAGGGCTAAAGGAAAGAACTTACGACTTTCAAACGCAGAGTTAGTTCCCTTCAGGACATCCAGGGTCAGAGCGGCAACCACGTCGGCCTGACGTGCGATAGCTGCGGCACGCTCAACAGCTGAAAGCAAAGGTAGTAGTTCCATACCACTTATCTTACAAACATTTAATGTTGTAAAAAATATACAACACTAACTGAACAGATACAATTGGGGTAACACCTCCCCCCCCCCCCAAAAAATAAAAAAATTGGGGTAATCCCTCCCCACCCCCCAAAAGACCTCCCCTTAATTAATTAATTTTTAAGGGTTTTAATGCATCTTAGTCTTATTTCTAGCGTCACCGTGCCGGGTAGCTAGATGCTTAATTAATTCGTAGGTAGGGTTAGAGGCGTCTGTCTCCGGGAAAGATCGAGACATCACCGATGTCAGCAGGGTTAGGCTTAAGTAATATATTCTCCCTGTTGGCGAGACAGACGTATCCCCATACTGCGGTTTGGGCACTGGCGCGGTGACATGACTTTATACATGTATAATACCGTAATCTTTCTGTCTCTTTATTCACTATGATGTACTTTACATTTACTGTTGATTCTGTAATGCGCTTTTGATCATTTATATGCAAAAGGCGCATTATAAATTTAAATTATTATTATTATTATTATTATTATTGGCAGCTGTAAAATCAAAGAATGTATTACAGACTGGTCAGTCTACAGACTCTTAAAAACAGTGAGGGTTCTTGGGTAGGGCTAAGGGAAAGGGGGGTGTAACCTGGACTGTCACACACTACAGATAGTTTCTTGAGTTCTACTCAAAAAAAATTTAGGGGGGAGTGTGGCCTAGTGGTTAAGGCTCGTGACTCATGATCAGAGGGTCAGGGGTTCAATAACAGCTACTGGCCATATGTTGTGTCATTGGGCAAGCCACCTCACCCCCACTTGCCTCTCTCCACCCAGGAGTATAAATGGGTACCAGCATTAGCTGGGGGGTAACCTGTGATAGACTAGCATGGGAGTAGAAATATTCTCAGTTGTTTTATGCTACTGAAACTGGAGATAAATGCCGGCCAGATGGGTCACATTGGCTCGTGACAGACTTACGTTTACTTTACTACTCAACAATTTTGAAATTAGCTTCAAAACACATACGACACTGAAGTTGGTAATCATAATCCAAATGTCCAAATGAAAGACGGTAAAACTTGATAAATGATCAAGTGATGTTTACATGATTTCATTTCAGAAAATTTAAATTTACCTTCGGTTCCGAGTGCTGTTATCAGCTGTGTTCCATTGATCAAAGCTATACCCTGTCGAGAGAGATCACAATAATAATCCGCATAAAATGTAATGATGATCGAGCACAATTTCGACATGTCGAGTACGAGCACTTTGCTGCCCGAGTACGTGTACCGTCATTTCGAGTAAGAGTACTTTGACATTCAAGTACTCGAGTAGTACTCGAGTACGAGTACCAATTACGAGTACTACGACACTGAATGTAATTACATCAGGGACGAGTTTAACTTCCAACTTATAATTAATGGCTTTAGTTTCAGTGCCAAATGATTGCAGTAATCATAGGCTTTTGCTGTTTTTAGTTCAAAGCTTACATGTTCTGGTTAATTATGGTAAATCAACAGCAAATATTATCAAAGACTTTGTCATTAATAGAAAATATTTGAAAAGCTTCCTACCTCTTTTGGGCCAAGTACGACTGGTTCCACCCCATGCATCTTCAAAATCTGCCCCAGATAAACAAAAAAAATAGCAAAATGAATACATCAGGACTTATTTTAATTCTTAACTTTTATCAGTAAATTGCTAGTTGGACAATTGGATTTACAATGGATCAAATTTTCCTGACACATTATTATCACTGCAAAAACTCTTGGACAAAAACGTTTACATACATCTGACAAAACTTCCGTCTTCTACGAATGGTTCTTTGGATATTTTGTTGGCACTGGTAATACAGGAGAATTTAAGCACACATAGGCATTTATGTGGTGAGCAGGTATATCATCTGGAATGTTTATTTTATCTAATTAAGGCCATCAATTCCATATTCTAAAAAATGAAATATATGTAAAAGGACTTGATTTCTGTACCGTCTTAGCATCAGCCCATCCTGTTCTCGGACTCCACATCTTCCCTTCCCCCATCATACCCAGGGCTAGGTGGCTCAAGGGGGCCAGGTCACCGCTGGCCCCCACGGTGCCTTTCTCTGGAACCCAGGGCAAGCAGGATGCTAAAAGGTCAAGAAAAAACATAGTCAGTGAAAATCAAGTATCTTAAGAGCTAAGTATCTTAAGAGCTTGTTCTCTAGGCAGGTATTAATGCTACCAATTTGGGCGATTCACAATGCAGAGCGCCACCAAAAGTTTGCCATGGAGAGTCGATCATTTTTCAAGTTTACGGTCGCCAAAACATGGCCCATTTGAACAAGTATCAGTAGACAACTTAAGGATTGGGACGTAGCGTTCTGCCGCCTTACAACACACACCATATTGATAACAAGAAAAGGGCAAACAAACATATACTTGAATCATATGCTTACGAAACTACTGGCCGGAAAAGCTAACAAATTCAAACGTTCCGCGCTGTGGATTTGACGACCATCTCCGACAATGCACTGGAATAAATGAACTCTCCGTGGCAAACTCTTGGTGGCGCACTGCAAAATCGCCCAAATTCACATGAGTTGAGTTTTGTCCCAGATGGTATTTGATGACAAATTTGCTCAACATAAATTTGCATTCATTAACAGCTGAGCCAGCCTCAAGTCTGTCTTATTGTGGGCCCTGTTGTCATTTGAGAACCTGATTTTTAAATCTTTGAACAGGGCTTTAGCGGGAGATGAAATAAAATGTTTACAAATAAAGATACAACTTTTGTCACAAAACAAATTATTAACAGCAACGTGACGCGGCAATGTGCCATTTCTTTGGGAGTTTGGTTTGTTTATTTATATTTGATAGTTATTGATGGAGAGCTGATCGATGAAAACGAAACTGTTGACTAAATTGACATCTAAAGAAATGTTATGAAAGACGGTGTGTACATACCCGAATACTGTACACATTTTTTTTAATTAAAAAAAAAAAAAGGTCAGAAAAAGTGTTATTATGAGAGCAAAATCTTACAATTAAAGGCATCAATCATGCTCCTCAGATTCTTTGGGGACAGACCACTATGACCCTTAGCGATCACGTTGAGGCGTAGCGCCAGCAAGCGACGAGTGCGCTCCGGGCTGAGGGGTTGGCCCACCCCGGCCGCATGGGAGCGAATCAGGTTCTCCTGTAACTCACTGTGTGTTAAGGAGAAAGAATGTCTCAAATATACAACACTGCTTTCCCTGTTATTTGAATTATTATGAGCACAGATAAAGTTGTGCACTTTTGGGGCAACAAGTTTGTCAATTCTTTGCTTAGTCATGAGCCGAATGTAAACTGATCATGTTTCAAAGGTAGGCCTAATTAGTCAGATAAACTTACAAGAGAGTATGGTGAAACTGTAAACTTTGTTTTAAGGCCCTATCCCTCCCCCCCCACAAACAAATTCAATAAATAAATAAATAAACAAAGATAAAAAATAACCCCCATTTCACATAAACATCACTTCTGGAGAACCTCTGGAGAACCATATATTTGTCCAATTCCTTTTTTTCTTTCTTTAACTAGAAAGCATTTTTGGCTTTCAGGAATTTTGAGCCAAAAGTTTCATATTCAATTATAATTTTTTTCAGCATACATGTACACACCCCACAGCTGTTCGAGGTAATGTTGGTGCTGCCTCTACACGTAAAACAAACAGTATGATGCTCCAATAAGGACAAATCAATAATCTTCACAAAAACACAAGGCCTTTTTTCCTGTTTACTCAACCTAGCCAACGAATATCATTAAAAAACTGGAAATGACTGTCGTGTACACATAATACAGAGAAAAGAGTAAATACACGTATTATCATCGGCAAACTAGTTTTGTACCCATATTTTGTTATAGCTAAATACACTTAAATTCTTTTGGTTGTAAATATGAATTTATATGGGACTGGTATGGTAAAACCATCACATGCATACAACACAGAAAATGATGATGGCAAAATGCCATTAACTACATAACAAAGACTACACAGTAACCAATTTACACAAAACCTTCTCGTACATGTGTACAGGGTGACCCAAAAAATGCAACCCTGAAACATTTGCCTTTTTTTCAAAAACGTGATCTGTGAATTTTTATGTTTTGGATATCAGATGAAAGCTGAGAGATTTTTTTTTTCTGTCAAATACTAAAAATATCATGAAAACAGCACATTGGGTTGCTGAGAAAATGCCAATTATGTAACACAACTCCCAGTCCATTGTACCTAATTATTTATGAAATGTATGTGCAAGCGCATTGTGTCCTAATCCTTACAAACAACACGGCACATAATATGACAAGAGTACAAATGAATTTGATTGAAATACCTTGTATTTTCCACCTAAACAGGTATACATGTAGGGCCCCCCATCTTATCTTTTTTAGTCGTATTTTAAACCTTTTCAGCGTCATAAATATGTCAACATATTAAAGAAATTGCACAACTGAAAGACATATTAAAATAACATGAATGTTTAACTGTGGTAATGCCATTGGAATGGACCAAAAAGGAGTTGTGTTACATAATTGGCATTTTCTCAGCAACCCAATGTGCTGTTTTCATGATTTCTCCAGTCTTTGAAAGAAAACACTCTCAGCTTTAATCTAATATCCAAAACATTAAAAATTTACAGATCACATTTTTGAAAAAAGGCAAACGTTTCAGGGTTGCATAGTTTTTGGAGTCACCCTTTTCCAAATACGAGCAGGTTTGTGTAAATTGCTTCATGGTATAGTTACATCAGCATTTCCATCTGCGTTTAATTTGTGCATTTTCAGCCAACCAAATCGTACGTGATGCATAAAAATATGTCAAGCAATGGGCCTTATTCACGAGTTGGCCATGTTTGTTGAGTTCCCTGAATGTATTTCATTAATTGTAAACTGTTGAATGGGATGGCGCCAGACTATTTATGCAGGCATAATGCTGCCTTATTTTACTGTCATTTTTCAAAATCTGGCTCTAAACATTAGGGAACGTTTAATTACAAATTTGAAATTATTCATTGAAGCAGACTGGAATTAATTATTAATTAACTTGCTTCCATTTCTCTTACTACACAAGTTCCAAAAATCAAGATTTTACCTCGACTCTCAATCCAATATGGCCGACTCTTGAATAAGGCCCATTTTATGCACACACTAAAACACACACACACACTATTGTCGTGGTTCATGTAAAATCCAGCTTTTGATGAATCTACTTACTTGAGTTTTTCAGGGGGGATGACCACGCGAGCAAACTTCCCAAAGCCTGTCGTCACACCATAAACAACTAAAAATAGAATTCAAATGTTAAAAAAAATAATTGGATAAATTATTCCTTGCTTGAAAAAGTCTGTGTGTGCCTTTTTTTTTTGAAAATGGAAACGGGAATTACTGAAATGTCAGTGCACGTATATTTGGTATGCTGATTGTAAATTTCCCTTAAAACAAGCTGGAAATGATCTCGGAAAGTGCGGCCCAAATGTAAACTGATTGAAAAGGATTCCCATTATTTTGTTGAACGTCAGTGCATGGAGCATTTTATAGCATGTCGAATGCCAAATTTGTGTGCAGTACAGTGCTAGCCCCAATGCAAAATGAGTGACCTTGTGACCCAATTTTCCACCACTGCAATAAATTGGTAGCTCTGGTCAGTGGAGACCTGAAGTACTGTTGTTGCCAGTGCCAGGGCCTAATAGGGACAAAGTGATTGATTGCCAAAAAGGCATTTGGTGAAGCTACATGTAATTGTTACTAACCGAAAGAGAGACATTAGTATTTCTTGAGCTGCTTTCCGCAGCTAAAAATTCACACAAGAGCGTATAAATTTGCGTTAAATACACTTTCAACCTGAATGTTTGATTCCAACCAAAAACCTCTTTTATTCCTATTGTGGATCTCTATGAAAAAAAGTTTCGTTCAGACACAGACAGATTATGCCCTTTGCGAGCAGACTGGCTCCCAGTCCATACATTATTGATACTGATTTGTGGGGCGGGAACCAGCCTATCCTACAAGAATGGAATTATCGTTTGGCAGCGAAGAAAATTGAAATTGAAAAGCAATGATTCAATAACTAAACATGGGCCGATTTTTTTTCAGTCAGTGTCTCATTTATTGCTAGGAAAATAGAAATTTGGAAAAGGACTATGATCTATTTTTCAGGATGAAACTCGGATGAAAATAGCATGGGGATGCAACTTTAATTACTGGGTGATATAGACAAGCCAAATTCTTTGTTAGAATACAAAATGAGCAGCAACAAAAGCGAAATTCCACAATCACTAAAATAAACTTATGCTACATTTCTTCATACAACTTGGCATGGATCTCAAATTCCATCCTTTAAAAAGTAAGTAATTTCAAGCAAAATAAGAGGTGGTATCTTGATGTTTTTGTCAGTACACTCCAACCATCACCAGCATTCTGGCAAGCACTGTCAGAACATGAACAAATAAAATGTCTAGTTAAAAGCTCTTGATCTTTTCAGAAACACATCTTTTCTTAGAGTTGGTCAGTTCCCATGGTGAACCCAGAAAACGTCTCCCAAATTTGACAGCTATTTTCCTCATCTTGAAAGTGCTGCAATATTGCATAACATTCCCTTTTCCACCCTGGATCTGCCCATTCAGTTTTTTATTAATTGTCATTTTTGGGTCAACTTTTTCTGATGAAAAAAAAAAACAAAGAATGCACAATCTTTGTGACAGTTACAAAGTTATAATTTCACCTTTGTTTTCTTCCACAATCTTTTCCAGTAGCTCCCTCGCCTTTGTGACTTTCTCCCAAGCTTTGTCAGTCAGCTGAGAAAGAAAAGTAGGCTATTCTTAAAAATGCTGTCAAATTAACCAAAACACCTTTAAATCCTTCAAGATTACAACAACAAAATATTAAATGGTATTTTAAGTCATTTTTTTTTGGAAAAGATCTTCACATTTTAGATGCCATTCATTGCCATTGCAGATTACATTAAAGGAAACGAAGAATAGAAAAGTATTTGGTTTGTGTTCGGCATTTTGAGAAAATCAAACGTCGATGACTGTCCTTGCCAAGTTTGAAAAGTAAACACACACACATAACACCCAAAATAAACTAATTCATACACGGAGTTCAAATTCACACCATCTCTTTCAAGGCCGAGGTCAGCAAAAAAAGAAAACAAAATGATAATGGGATATCCAGAATAGGAAGGATAGTACGTTGTTGGTAGTTGGGTGGGGGAAGTTTCTAACAAAGTACATGCACTGTTTAAAATCTCCAAGATTTCAGGAACCCACTTTCACACTAGCAGGAATCTAACATGGCTCCTTCACAATTCTGGTTGGGACCAGGGTAGACTTTTTCAGGGGAAAATAGGGACAAAAGGCAGCTGGAACGTCGTAGCACAGTAGTAATATCTGTAAACAATACTTGGTGAAGCAACAGATCTTTGGACATGGAGCACGGGACAGTCCAGTTAGATAACCAGGGCAACTCGCATGTCAGTGTACAGGGCGACCCAGTAGTCAATATTCATTGTTACAATGGTCAGGTTGTCATAGCTGTGCTTTCCTTGCCAATGTGGATTGGGTTTCTAGTCCCTACCAGTGATCCGTGGGTTTTCCTCAAAATATTCTTCTGGGGGTTTCCTCCCAAAACAAAAAAAAGGAGCTTCTTCACAATGTCTTCTCTTTACTGGGCCCCTAGGGAGACCAGTGGAATCCACTGAATGGGCTACCCAGTTAACAACAGTGACAGTAGAATAAAAGCATTCCTTTGTCATTGTCAATCCCCGTAATCTGACTTACGACCGACTTGATTACTACTCTCGGAAACCTTATTAAAACTGATCAAAGAAATTGAAGGTAGAACTGAGATTTCCTGTAGGAATTCACTTGTTTTCCTCTAACCTTGATGTTGTAACTGCCTTCGCCAAGTTTCATCAAGTCATCCGTGGAGAGACTGCATCCATCCAGGCTCAAGTACTGCAACGGAGAACATGATAAATACGCTGTTGTCATCTCCAGATTCGGAAGGGGATGTTCAAGTTGTAAGCTGAATCCCTAGGGAATGCTAGGGCTGGGTAAGAATGGAAATTCTCTCTTGATTTGTTTCAAAGAACCCCACTCTCCAAAACGAAACAACAGAATTTCTTTGTGATAAATGTGAATAAAATTAGGTTGCAATCAACATTTGGTGACACAGGGCTGGGCTTATGAGGTAAATAATAAAAAAAACATTAAGTACACTGAAAACTCCATGTTGAAATCTATTAAAATGCTAACTTAAAAAGTGCTGAAATCCACCTATCATGATGCAGGGGTTAGCTAGACATACCACCAGAATAAGAGATACAAAACATGACATACCGGTCATCGTTCATAACAGTAAAGGCGAACAATGACAGACTGAGATTTTGGGGGATGATGCGAGTTTGGACAAAGAGGACGATGGGAAAATTTTGAGGCTGGAGGGGTTGTTCCATATCATGTGAGTGCATTTTGACACTCACAGTAACAATTTTTTTTCTAGTTTTTTGTTTTGTATTTTTTTTGGGGGGGGGGGGGGGATTCCACTTCAGAAATGCAAATGAGCAAAGGCCATTCAAATAAGCTTGGTATTGAAAACACCATGGACATGTGATTCACATGGAACAACCCCATCCCCCATCCTCCCCCCCCCCCCCCCCCCCCCCCTCCCCCTCCCCTAACCATGCATGCATATCTATTCTTGCAAGGACACATAAAAATCAATCCGATTTGACATCATGATGTTACCTCTGACGCAGACTTGTGGGTTGGGTGTCTGTGAAAATAACTTAAGTCAAGGAAATACCAGTGATGCTTTAACCTTCCCCCACAGGAACATCAATCAATGACTTAAGGGAATGCAAAAAAACCAACTATTTTCTGCAAGGCAAGCATGTCTTGGAGTAAAGGTTCACAGAGAATACCAAAATTTTTTTGCATGTATTGTTGTGGTTGATTTGTGGAGCAGTGACTTAAAAAAGAAAGAACTTTGAACGGTTGGATTGTAAAAGTCGGAAGTGGGCCGGCCCATTCATTGAATTTTTCCTGCTCAGTTTTGGAAACCCAAAGAAATCTTTTGAATAGGTGAAGAATACCCAGCATTTTTTGTTCCTTACAAATACACCATAATTTTCCAAACAGTGGACTGTGAAAAAATTCAATGAACTATATATGGAACCAGCTCAAGGTTAGTGCTGTATAATTTTGGTTTACAATACAATTTTGAACAAAACCTGATATAACTGCATATATATAAATGAGGACTGAATACAGATGATATGTTAATATTTAACAAGGAATTTGTTGTTTTTAACAAGGAATTTGTTATTTTTAGACATTGCATTCAACAGCTCCACATACAAATTTTCCGGCAGATGGTAAATTGTAATATATGGACCACAAGGCAGGCTAGCATGGAGGGGGTATATGTGTACACGTGTCTAGTCACATAATGCAGTGGTCATAGATTTGGTTCAACAAACTGCTTACAAATGCAACATTTACTTGTAAATCCCATGGTGCACATAATTTCATGGCTAAATCCAATCCAGAAATAGCAAGTGGGTCGCAAATTCTAGGTCATTTTCAGCTTACTGGTTCATGCTGTAAAACACACTGTAGACATTTTTTTGTGAAAAACAAAAAAAATCAGGCAGAAAAGATTTTTTTTTTTCACAGACGAAACTTGGAGCAAATGCAAAGGTCATGCACACACCCTTTGGTTTAAATACAGAGTTAAGAGGGTCTTCTGACGAATCCCTGAATAATATTCAACACAAAAGAAGAACAAGGATACACATTCAGATCATTCTGAAGAGTGGACGAACAGCTTGCATCTCCTGTCTTCTGTTCACTTTCCAGCACTGACGGAAAACAAAATCAAGAATACAGAATTAAAAAAAAAGGAAATTCTATACATTTGGAGTCCAAGGTGAGACATTTTGCCCAGTGGCGCATCCAGGATTTGGCTTTGAGGGCTCACAATTTTTTGTTTTCAAATTCTTTAGAAGTTAAATTGTTTTCAAAACTTTTGACCAAAATTGTTAGCTGCAGAAAAAATTTGGGGTATTTTTTCGGGGGGGGGGGGGGGGGGGGGGAACTATTTTGACATTGATGGCGCCACTTACACCCCCATTATACTACTCGAAAATAGGTCACATACATATCGCCACGGTCAAATCCTGAGAGTAAAAAATTAACAAACAAAAAAACAAAAAATTGACAACCAAGCCCCCCCCCCACATCACTCATTTTGCCTGTACCTGTTAGCATCGTACTTTGTATATTTGCCATCATGTCCAAAGATAGTAAAAATGACTTAAAACTATTTTTTATATGTTGGGTAGGTAGTTTGCTATTCACAATCACTCTTGGAGGATGACTACAATTAAGAAGTACGTCATAATTATAAAACCGTAGATGTCAGATGTAACAGGGACAGGGAAAAAAAGTGCCCCCACATTTACAGAAAACCACTCTAAACACTGACACTTCAGGCAGTGCACTGGCTATTAATTTTAGCAATTTTGTAATTGTCTTGTCTCTGGACAACACCATGATTTTGTCGCAATCTGCTTTTATTTCATAAACGTCATCATAATCATCCTATAGATGTACATAAAACACCGTATTTTTTTTGGGGGGGGGGCAATGAGGGCAATGTGTGAATTTGCTTTAAACACTCACAATATTAAAATCCCTACAATTTTTAGAGTAAGGACATAATAGCAAAACTACCTTTTGGTAACTCTCCACAAACACATTTTTAAAGCACAAACCAAGCGCCTATCGAACACGGAGAGTTTAAGCCATAGTGGTCTGGGTCTTGACCCCCCCCCCCCAAGGAAACCATCAGATCATTATTTAGCATTCTTCTTAGAGATACTAAGGCTCACTTGGAACATCTGGTAATCCTTGTATAAATCCTCCTCAACTCCTCCACTGATTAATGGCAATGGATAAAGGTCACGTATATATCCCCACTGTACACACATTATGTTACTACAGGACAATATGGACTCACTTATCATATTCATCGAGGATATTTACACATTGACTCTATACACACTGTCCTAGCTGAATTGCCCATTTACAGTGGTGCTCCCCCCCCCCAACAGATGTCCAACCCCCTGAGTGCCCCCCCCCCACTCTTTAAAATCTTGAATTGACCAAACATATATAATCCTTTGCCCTCAGTATACATGCACCCACGTTTCCCCACACCACTGCCGGTATGAAAGTAATTTCAAGCTCTCTACCGGTAATGTTAACAGTTGTAAAGCTGTTTCTGCTTCATTGATTGATTGAACCATGGAGGCATGAGAACGAACAAAAGAGCTTGTTGAAGAGGTAAACCCCACTTACTCCAGTAACATCTGGTTTTCTCAGAACCGTTGACCACACAACGCAAAAGCGGTATTATAGGCCAAGCATGAGCTTATTATTCACATGGTACCGCAAACCTTCCATTCATCTCTTTAATACCATGTTTACTTTGGAGCTTCGACTAGCAAGTAGATGAGTACTTTGCACTATGTATAATTAATCAATCATTTGAAATTACCATCAAAGCAAAGACGGCTCTTAATCATATTGCGACTGGAGCCTGAATAGAATCTTGTCCAAGAATTGGATCCTAAATGTGCTTTTATCTTTTTGGCCCTTTCCTTTCCACTTGGAACCCTAAGGTTACACGTAGGCCTACTGCGTTTGTTTACATATTGAGCCTGGATATGTTTGGAAGAATTCACTTGTTTAGCTTTGCCCAATTCTCATGATTATGTGGCCAAGATACGCATGGCTTCCCCCTGTACAAAAAGGGAGTCGAGTATTATCTTGATTCTTGGCCACAATTTTGACCATACTGGAAAGATTTCCATATACAAGTTCACTAATTTTCCTCTGTATTGACTAACAAGCCCCCAGATAGCAATTTCATGTCATCAAAGTCAATTTGAGCAGTGAGAAAATACAAGCATTTTCTTAGAAAACACTTAGAATTTTTCAGTCCAATCTCATACTAGGGTTTGTACACAGGGTGTTGAGTGAACTTCGTATATGGAAATCTTTCCACCATACCTCCTTTCCCCGTTTTTGGGAAAATTCCATGGCCTATAGACATCACTAATTTTCCCCTGCAGTGACAGCCATCAGAACAGTGGCACACCCAAGGGGTGGGGCAAGGGGGGCACTCAGGGGGCTTGCACCCCCCATAGAGGTTGTGTATTTTTTTTTTTTGTATTTTTTTTAAGTCCCACGATTTGACCTTGGTGATATGTATGTGGCCTATTTTTGAGTAGTTAAATAACACTAATAGGGGGTAAATGGTGCCACCAACATCAAAATGGTCCACCCCCCCAAAAAAAATACTTCCAGAAAAAATGTGAAAATAAAAAATTTGTGAGCACCCCCCCCCCCCCCCCCCCAAGCCAAATCCTGCATCAGAAAGCGATAACATGCCTATAAAAAGCCAAATTTGGTTTTGGCAAAATTAGTTAGGGTTTGTCATGTTTGTGCATATCATGCACTCGCAAGTGATTGACACCGGTTTGGAATTCTTTCCCCCATTTTTGTTTTTTAATACTAGCAGTAGGCCTAGGCCTAGCAACACAATTTTACCGGTGTAGACATGGATGGTAGACAAATCCCCATTTTGTTTTTTAATACTAGCAGTAGCAATACCAGTACTGTAGCAACACAATTTTACCGGTGTAGACAAATCCATTGTCATCCACGACATCTTCGATGTGGTCAGCAGGGAACAGCAAGCTTCCTCCCGGCGACTTGCGTACCTCCAGCACGTCATCTTCTTTCTCCTGATCGTAAGCCTTGAGGGTCCGGTAGCGAGACAGGGCTTGCTTCCCGAGCCAGTCCACCGTCAGCTTGCCCGACTTAACCGGCACGAGCAGCCATTCATCACGGACGCGTATGTTCACCTTCATCTCCGATGGCATCGGTCTACCAGTGGAAATGGATTCACCAATTCAGTCTGGCAAAAATACTTGAGCGCGAAACTGGATTCCACTACGGGTTTTATTTTTTTAGGCCGCACTACCACTGAGCCGATGCACGTGCGCAACGTACGTGACGTACACTGTAGTTGACCTTGCATTAATAATTGGCACTACACCAAAATCAAATTTACGAACTGATTGTATCATCTAGCTGCATGCTCTTTCTTACAGACATTGATTTTTTTCACACATAAACTACGCAAGTTTAGTGGAAAGTCGTTGTCGGTAAATCGTCCTTCAGTAAAGTTTCTCCAACACATCAAATTACACAGAAATCGAGCAAATTCCTCCATGCAAATAAGCACGACGGACTGTTTTCGTTTTTAATCGCATGCGCGGTACTATCATAATACGATTGACAATGATGACGTGCCGTGGCGCGAAATCTGCACTACGTGCACGTGCCTCTTTTAAATTAATTTTGTACGTACAGATCATGTTCTATAGATAAATTAATATCACGAACTACTCGTTGTAAACCAAATAATTAAAACGCGCGAGTTGTGTAGGCGCGGCGTGGGCGGAACTACTTTGTCGACCCTGATTGGTTAATGAGTGCGCATTATTCATGATGATTGGACTAAACTAGGTTCCAGTCCCTCGGCTAGGCTGCTTCAGTCAACAGGCCGGCCACGTGGCGCCGTCGCGAAGAGGGCGCCCCAACCTGTTTGATTGGAGAATTTTGTTGGAAAATGAATGAAACTAATATGAAAGGAAAGGAAAGCTCTACATTCTTGTTTTTGTATTGACATGACTGAAGGAAGATCAAGAACGCTCTCCATGGAGGTCAGGACCAGACTGAGTTTAGTCTTAGATGGCTACGTAAATTTGTAGTGTTATTTTAGTTCATGAACTAGAAATGTAGGAGCCTGGAGGGCCCTCTTTGAAATGGTAATTTGAGCATGGAGAATGAGGAAATATTCTTAATCTTTTGAAAAACCTAAACCTGACTTTTATATTCTTTTACATTGTGTGTTTCTAATGACAAAGTGCATCCTACGGTAATCCTTACTTTTTTTTTAGAACCCCATTCCTATATAGGAAAGGAAAGAGTCACCAAAACAGTTGACTAAATCAGTAAATGACACTCAAAATTGACATTCTGATACTTCTTGGCACATCTGACATGTCTGAACAATTGGCAATGACACCTTGAATATCAGCAGGTTTAATTTTGTGGAAAGAGGGCAGGGCTTTGATTTATGAGGGAAATTCAGGGGTAAAAGACGACGATGACAACCAGAAAACAGACTCAAAAACCAACATGACCAAGATGGCAAACGTGAAAGCTTGATGCGATGCAAGCTTGATGCTGATTGGCTGATAAAAAAAACATCTTATTTATTTTTAGTCTGGTTCCCAGACCAAAAGATTCAGGAATAGTCAGAATCTTTTGGTCTGAGAACCAGACTAACTTATTTATTTTTAGTCTGGTTCCCAGACCAAAAGATTCAGGAGTAGTCAGAATCTTTTGGACTGGGAACCAGACTAATTAATTTTTTTAGCAGCCAATCAGCATCGGGCTTTCATTATGTAGGGCTTTCACGCGTGTGAGAACTACAACATGCACGTCTGACTGCGAAAAAAGGTAGGAAAGTCACATTTTCTTCTAAAGTGCTTTCAAAACTACAACTATCATGAGTTTATATGAAGAAAAAAGACTGCTTTAGCCTGCAAAAGTCACTTTGGTACTGGACAGTTATCTGCAAAAGTCAGTTTTGAACAGAACTTGTAAAAAATAGAGGTGTCCTAAAAGTAAGGATTACCCATCCTACTACTACCAAAATAGGCAACAATGATAGGTGGGCGCTTCGCAGGCCCAGATTATCCAATAGGCAATGTGCCTTGGGCATATGGTCATTTTGAGGCCTACGAAAAATTGGAGGCCGTTTGAAAATACAACAGTGTGCCAACTAGCCCCATAAATGTGGCCAATTTACTGGACTACCGATACCTCTGTAATTGTAAATAAAGGCCACAATTCCACCGTGTACAAAAACATGTCGAACTTTGTCAAATTTTGATTTTCACATTTAGGCTTAGTTTTTAGGGTTTTTTTTGCTTTAGAAGCATACTCATCCTCTTTAGCTAATCAGAAAGTGCTGCCTTTTTCAGATGTCTATTTTTCGTGAAATTTCCAGATTCGTTTGCAACACGTTTGCGTATCAAATTTTCAACATGGAATTTCACGAAAATGAAATTTCATGAAAATTCATCTGAAAAAGGCAGCACTTTCTGATTAGCCTATAATTTAGTGATTATAGTGATAAAGAGGGTGAGTATGCTTCTAAAGCAAAAAAACCCCTACAAACTAAGCCTAAATGTGAAAATCAAAATTTGACAAAATTCGACATGTTTTTGTACATGGTGGAAGTGTGGCCTTTATTTACGGAGGTAGTCCAGTAAATTGGCCACATTTATGGGGCTATGTGCCAACAGGCTAAGTTTTAGAGCAACCAGTTTGGCCTGGCTTGCTCAAGTGGTAGTACAGCTCAGCATCACATGAAATTGGAGACTTTTGAGACGTTGGTGGCAGCTCCACACCACATGCATGTTTTAGCTTAAACGTGACGTAAACAATTGAAAATGTCTCAATAGTCTCCCAAATGATTATTGTCGGTGCCTAGGGCGGAGTAGGGACTACAGAACACTGGTATGCCTTGGGCCTACGGAACACTTATCTGGGCCTGGCAACTCAAAATAGTGTCTAATTTGTACGGAGAATTACATTATACTCAATAGTCTTGATAGACCCCTGCACAATGCATGGAGCCTTTGTGCTGTATATGGAGTACATGTATTTTCTCCTCCAGACAACACCCTCGCCCCCCCCCCCCCCCATAATTTCTCTCAATTTGCATTCAGAGCCTCAGTGGAGGCTCTTCTCCCCCCTCACCCCACAGGCATCGCTAGAGGAGGGGTATGGGGGCTGTCACACGCCCCAAACCCTAACCCCCCACCCCCCCCCCCCTTGGCTCTGGCTAGGATGCAACCTCAATCAATCCTGCAAAATCCTCCAATTGCCACCAAATTGGATTCAGCCTCAATCCTCCAAAATCTTCTGCCAATTACTGCTATGGTCCTTAGAGGTAATGTGAATGGCGTTTAGAAGTAGTGCGGATGAAATACAAGAAAAACACAGGGCTGATTCATGCATGGCTGAACATAACCAATGCAGGACATGGCCTACTGGCTTGACATAAGGCATCCTCCACACAAAAAAGGCGCGATACATTTTTGCCATTCATCCTCAATCCTCTAAAATCATCATCATGCAACAAAACCGGCAGATTGACTTGTTACTTTGTTTTTTTTTGCAAATATTGTCTGTTGGCACATATACCGCAACAAAAACAAGGCCACTTGTTGTCCGATAGTGTACAAGCACTTCAAGGTCTGCTTTAACATCCTTGTTTTTTCATGTACAGGAGGTCTAGATCATCATGAAGCTGTGACAAAAACAAACTGAAGATGGCTGGTAGTGATACTGTCAGGAGCAAGCTACTGTGTCTTCTTCTGCTGTACTTTGTGCAAGGAATTCCGTATGGCTTTCAGGTAAGTTATCATTCCCAACTTTCAATTGGCAGAGTATCCTTCTTCCTCAATGTCACAGTTTTATTTATTTTAGACAGACACTTCTCTTTCTGCCAGCATTAACCCTAACCCCCGAGGCCCTTGTTGCTTACAACCATCCTCAATCCTCCAAAATCCTCCAAAATGTTTCAACTCCGCCTAAATTTTTCAAAATTGTCAGACAGTCCTGCCTCAAAATGCATTCATCCTCAATCCTCCAAAATCCTGCTCATCCCAAAACTTTGCACTCGTGTTTAAATGAAGGATAACCAACGCCAAATCCTTCAAAATCATCAGACAGTCCTGCCTCAAAATGCATTCATCCTCAATCCTCCAAAATCCTCTTGTGCTTCATTCACCATTCATCCTCAATCCTCCAAAATCCTCATGTGCTTCAATCACCATTCATCCTCAATCCTCCAGAATCCTCATTTGATTCAATCACCATTCATCCTCAATCCTCTAGAATCCTCCAAAACCGCCAGGATGATTTTGGAGGAGTGAGGTGGGTTAGGGTTAACAAGAGATAACATTGTTCTCACGACAGGCTCGTTTCCTGCCACTCTTCCTGCGGTCGCGGGGCACGTCTCTCACCAACCTTGGTCTCTTCAAGATCCTGCTCCTTCCCTGGATGCTGAAGGTCATCTGGGCCCCGCTCCTGGAACGCCATGCCTCTCAACGGACCAACTTGATCTGTAGCCTGGTGGCCATGGCGACCGTCTGCGCCCTCACCTCCTGCATCTCGCCAGACCAGACGGCGTTACTGTGCACCGCCATTTTCTTTTTGAACCTGTCCGCGTCGACGCAAGATATTGCCGTGGATGCTATAGCCATGCAGATCCTCGGCGAGTCGGAACTGGGAGCCGGCAACACCGTTCAGGTGGTCGGCTACAAGGTTGGGTCCATTGTAGGTGGAGGGGTGCTGATCTGGCTCATCGCCTACACGGAGTGGAGCGGACTGTTCGTTCTCCTTGCTGCACTCTACGCCGTGACACTCGTCACGGTGATGCAGCTAGGGGTACTCAAACAGTGCAATAAAATTGACAAGGGATGCTGCGCTGCAAACGGGAACAGTGTCCATCGCGACAATGGCATGGGACCTTTGCAACAGAGCGATTCCAAGTTACAGTCGATCTCCTCGCTTGTGAGGGATATCGTTAATACCCCTCACACAAAGTGGATGATGATGTTTGCACTCTTCTATAAACTTGGTAAGATTTGGGCATTGAAAAGTGAACATGCATGAATAATGCATAGGGCTAAGTTTCAGTGGCCAATCAGCATTTCATTGATTGGGGATTTGGCTTAACAAATAAAAACAGCCCCCGTCCCCTCAAATGGTCCTCAAAGATTTTACCTGTTGTTTCCAGTACTCAATGTTATTTTATGTTAATCAGCTGTGTTCTGAAATGGGGCAGTTTTCAATTACTATACAGCAAGCAAAGAAACTTCTTCGAGCAGAAGCTTGATATTTTCTACCTAGCAGAATCTTTCTCAAAAGGCAATGTGGTTTTGGGTACAACTCATGTCACCCTTTAAGCATGATTGCCAACTACAATCCAGTGGTGCCTACTTGCTTGAGGTTCCAGTTGCAAAGCACAGAGGCCTTTGGCAAAAGACATTTCTCAGTTGCCGAAACGTAAACTCTTTTCTGCTCCCGGTAATAGTAAATAGTTTATGTATACAGCAATGTTTAATTTTTAATTCCTAAAAACCTAAGACAGTTTACCCATCCCTATTGGTCGTGAGCCTGTTGCGTGGGTGGTTTTAAAAGGTTGATAGAACACCAACTGGTTTTAAACACTTTTTCTGGTGTCGCATGAAATTCGGGCTCTTATGAAATCTGGTCCCTTTTACCCTTGTAGTGGTTGACCACTCTCCTAATTATCTTCACTTGGGCATGCGCAGTACTACCAATGGGTCCGTATTTTTACAGAGTCCTAAATTCACAATGCTACACTGGCACTGCTGCATTCTGCGTCACTTCCCATAGTACACGCCACACGCGCGCCAATCTCCCCATAAGGAGATTTTTAGTATTACTCGCGTGAGGCACATACCATAAACATAGCTAGAGGGGTGTTTCACAATACATGAAGTAAAATTGTTGAACAAAATCATTGGAAATGTATAATTTTTGATTTGTTGACCGTTTAAACCCGGCTAGGGGCCTGGTTACCAATAATGGCCTTCGATCAGCTTGGACAATCATCCGCATCCAGGCCCTAGCTAGTTTTAAACGTACTTGTTTAAAACCAGCCAAGACACATTTCTTCCCTTATTATTGTTTGGTGGTTTTTAACAGCCTGGCCATAATTCCATATTATCGCAGGTGAGCAAGGTGCCGTGGGCATGTTTCCCCTCTACCTGGTAGACCATGGAATACCAGTCAGCGAGGTGGGGTTCCTGACTGGGGTCATAAGTCAAGGGTTATCCATTACAGGGTCGTTGGCAGGCGGCTGGATGCTGTCCAACTCAAAGCTAAGGTATAGTTTGAAACTGCCTTAAAGGGAAGATGCAACATTTGCAAACATCAAAGAATGAAACGATCAAATTATAACGAAATGCCTTTCTGGCTTGTTAGGGAATGACAGTTTAAAGCATCCTGGAAAATCGAGTAGGTTGCTCCGTTTCATCTTAATTGGGGTCAGGGAGCCAGACTACAATATCATGGTTGGTTTTCTTGGTTTTTCCAGCATCTACAAGCCCAAACAGAGAAACAAGTCAGTTTAACAATATTTGCCATAACGTACAATGTACTAATCCTCCAAATCCATGTATTTCTGAAAATTAATTTGCAGCAAAAGCAAGTGTTGTACATTCCCTTTTAATATCTCATTCATCAGATATAGTCAGAGAACAGTCAGAGTGTGAAATTTCTTACGTTCTGTGACGTGGTGCGGGGACAACAGGTTGAAGACGGGTCGTGGGGAGGCATCTATCAATCAGTTGAAATTGAAATGAAATTTTGAAATCTTTTGTGGCGGTGCCCCAAATAGAACGTTTGGGTAAGGATTGCGATTTTTAAATCACAGAATAAAATTGAGGAGAAATCCAGTTTTTGGGTCTTGATCTTTGTAATAGACGCAGTTTCCACATTTTTTTCAGTGCAATTTGGACGTGAAATAACGTGAACATCATCTTTTTCTTTGCAGACTAACGCCTGCCTACCTCCTCCCATATCTGATGAAGCTGCGACTAGTTCCCTTAGTGCTTCAGACAGCAGTAATAGCTGGCAATTTCTCGGACACAAGTGTTCCTCTCTATGGTGAGTGTAAAGCTAGGAGAAATTAATTTTATGATAATCCAACTCCTGTCCTCGAAATGTTGGTTTTGGCTTAAACCTGTCTCATATCCTTTCATATGCAAGGTAGGCTTATACCGGCATGCAACTTTTCCTCGGATCAGCTGATTTCCTCTTTTTTACTTCCCATGTGTGCCATTGAAAATAGAAAAACACTGTACAAAGTCTGGGAAAAATTTGAATTTCCTCTTTTTTTGTGATTTCCCAGTTGCATGCCTGCAAAGTTATAGAGGGTGTGGGGGAATTGTATGACCACTCCAGCACTCTTATAACGGTTTAATTGATTCATGGAGGAGTAAATACAATGTAATACAATTGCTAAAGGGATAACCCTAACTCCCTAGGCCTTTTTGCTAGGATGTAGCCTCAATCCTGCAAAATCCTCTAATTGGCCTCATGGAAAAATAGCATATAACCTCAATCCTGCTAATTCCTCCATTTCTTGAATATGGTCCGTGGAGGGGTGACCACTGCCTGAATCCTGCAGAATCCTGCGGCAGTGACTGTCAATATGTTGAGGCTTGGCCAGTGATATCCTGGAGTAGTGCGGAGGATTTCAAGCACAATCCAGGCCTATATTTATGCATGGCTGAGCAAAAACAACCCAAGGTCCGGCCCAAGACCTTGACAAAGTGCATCCTACGAAATCAGTAACGCACTTTTGCCATGTAACCTCAATCCTCCAAATTCCTCCACGTTGGCAAAGAGGATTTTGAAGGATTCAGGGCGATTAGGGTTGATGAAATTATTTATCCTAATATTTTAAATGGGATATCAGTAAAGACTGTAAATTCAGAAGTTGCACAAAAATCATTTCTCATCCAAAATCCCTAAAAGGATGGACTTTCATGTGTCGTCGCCCTTCCAAAAAGGCTTTGGCAATCAAAACTGTCCGTTTTAACATGGAAGCAATCACGACATTTGTTTTACCTTCCCCAGGTCTCTGTGCACTGGCCATGTGCTTTTTACAACTGATAGGGGGCGCCATCACCACGTGTACCTTCACATTGATGATGCAGTGCTCCCAGCATGCACCGCTGCGCATCCAGGCAACCCACTACACGGCCCTGGTGACCTTAGAAGTGATGGGCAAGCTGACTTTCATGTCTGTGGCCGGCTGGTTTGTGGACCTGCTCGGATACAGCTCGATGTTCTGTCTGTTTGTTGTTCTGTCTGTCGGTATTCTTGCAATGTTTAGACCAGGGTCTAAAAGTAAGCCTTTATGAAAACTGATGCGTGTATCTTATTTGGAAAGGATCCGTTTGTCAAAGCAATGTGTGTGTATACTTGCCTTTTTGCAAAATGAGCAATTTGCCTTTAAAATGAAATATTTATTTGTGTACTATTGTCAATTGTTGTACCTCTCAATAATAAGGGTTCAAAGACAGTTTTATTTATTCAATTTATATTTTTTTTTTGGAGAAGATATTTAGTTTTAATACCATTATTTCTGTAGAGAAGTATTTTAATGGATACAATTTTTTTCATTCAACAGTTTGTTTTTCCAGCACTTAAAGCTCATACAAGCTGGTAAATCCTTGGGAAAGTGCTTTTGAAAACCGTTAACCATTTTGTTTTGTTACATACTTTTCATGCACAAGAGGGTTTTCTCATCTCTTCTATTTACATTTTTGTAGAAAGATGTACTGGTACCAAGATTCCAGTATAAGTGGGTGTATTACTACAAACAGTTTCTGAAAATATATCGAGTGTGTTTAAAACATATCATCTAATGTAGTAACTCAGGCCTTTCATGTAAGTTATAACAGTGGGCTGTACTTTTCAATCTGTGGAATTTAGAGCAAAGTGCAGGTGGTATTAAAAAGTTGTATGCCTATTTTTTTGGCACAAAGATTTTATCATTTTATTGGGTTCAGGCATGCAACTGGGAATCTAGAAAAAAAACGAGGAAATTCCAAACCACACAAGACTTTGTACAGTGTTTTTCAACTTGTAATGGCATTCATGAGAAGTAAAAAACAAGGAAATCAGCGGATCCGAGGAAAAGTTGCATGCCTTAACACACTTAAGAGGGGGTGGGGAAGGGGATGTCACCGACTTTTTTAGGTGGTAAGTCAGGGTTCTTGGGAAAAGACGAAGTGTTTAAGCGTTTTTGTAAGTAATACTTGCACAAACTTAATTTCATGGTTTTTGTAGTTTTGTTTCATGGTAATTCCTCTGGTTTAAACTTACTAGTGTTGCACAAATAAAACCTTTACGCAACTGATGCAATACATCCTATACACTTGTGTTAACAAATCTGCCATCAGTTTGTCAGAGGCTTTTGCATTTGTCGGTTTTAGCACCTATAGTGACAATTTGGCAATTACAGTTAAGTACAGGGTAGAAAATAAATGAAATTTTGGATTTCTCGAAAAAAATATCTAGTCAAATAAATTATAAATTTGACTGGAGCAGGGTTTGAACCTGTGACCCCCGGATTGCCATTCCAGTGCCCTACCTAGCTATCCAGCACTATGATCGGAGGTTCCCCATTTTATCAATGGGGATCCACCAATGGGGAACTGAATGAATTTGACCCATTTTGTTGCTTTTCTGGTGATGAGAGTTTGGATGATTTATCTGCAAAAGCTGAATGCGAAGGTAGACACCCGTCGGCTGTCTTTTTTCATCCCAGCCATGCATTGCAAGTGCAAACAGCTTTCAAATTGATGGCTTTTTTGCCAATGAAAGAAAATAAAGACTTTGACATACAGACACATTTCAATTAGCGCCAACACTATGAGCTTCAACACTAAGAGATTAAATTGGACACAAAACTACTACTGACTCATGAAAATGTTCTCAAATTGTTTTTACCAGTTTATTGATTCTTTACATTGGCAATTGGAAATATGATTTAATTGAAAGGAAGTCCAATGCGGTATTGAAGTAAATGCTAAGTGGTGTGCTGTATTGCAAATTCCTTTAGAACAATCCATGCTCGGAGTTGCTGTAGGGCAATTCCAGCATTATGTAATGTGTGTGACGGAGCTTTTAAGAGCTCATTGAATAACCTGAAAATGTATTTTTCAAATCCTATACATCCATCATTCTAGTAATGGTCAAGGAGATTACAGACTAGGAGTTTTGGATCATTTCTCTGAATTATTAATCAGATATCATGGTTAACTGGCTCTGTCATAGACAAGCTTCCTTCACAATGCTGCAATCGCCTTACTCATTGTGGTCTCCAGTACTGGAGGAAGCACTGTACACATATTGTGCCGAAAAAAAATAACCCAGGACGAAAATTCAATAAATGGGTTTTTCCCTTTACTGAAGCAAATCCATAAACACTATATACACAGTATAGTCAGAGGGCTTGCGAGAACAATTTCACAAGCTTACTCGGTTGGGACTTGAACCTGCGACCTCCCGCCTACTAGTGCAGACGTCTCACTGCTCGACCACCAAGCTTGCAGGAGTCGGCTTGGTTCAAGGTACTGTAACCAATCACTATTTATATAACTCTGAGCAACAGCTGACACAATGCTTCCAATGTGACTGGGGAACATGGTGCATTTAACCCTAACCCTGCCAGACGCAGCACAGTGCATCAGGTGGAAAAGTCTGGTGCACTTTGATGGAAAATGCTACCAACACCAGTGCATAAACCGGCCACTTCTGGGACACTGAGGGCTAGTCCCATAGAACAATGCCAGAGTTGTATCCTGCTGCGTTGGGGGACCACAGACTCTGAGGCAGTTTGGCCTTGAGACTTTTGACCTGATGGATCTTGCTGCACTGGGCAGGCTTGTCACTTAGTCAAGCGTTGCATGTTGCTGCGTTTGGCAGGGTTTCTAGCCAAAATACCCTGGAGGGTTAGGGTTAAAGTAACTCTGTGCCTGAATTGGTCCAATGAAGATCACCGGATGAACCTGGTCCTAGTGAGATGGCGAAGATTCATTGATGGCTTTGGCCTAAATGGGCAAACGGGCCCAATAAGATGGACAGTTCGAGCCTCATGCAGCATGATCCGTGTCACACATCGATATGCGTGCCCTTCTTGCCGGCACTTTGGTAGACCTTGATGGGAGGAATGGGCTTGATCTTCCTGCCGGCCCATCCGCCTTTCCTCTGCCACAGGCCGCTGGAAGGCCTCCGTCCCAGCCATCGATTGCGACCGGCTTTACCTGCAATTAGAAAAACCATATAAACAGGGATGGCAGTGCCATACGACATAAAACTAGTTTTCGCCAACTTGAGGAAAATTATTGTATAGCGGAGTGCAGGGCAACAACTGTTTCGGAAGCTGATTTGCATTTGTGTGGCAAAGTAGTCAGGGCAGTTGATTTGCATCCCACTGTACACTGGCCACACCAAACTTGATTCTCCCCTTCAAGTACTATACATGCCTGTGGGAGCCAGTGGCATATTCTGGCTTTGAGGGTCAGGAAGTGGGGGCTAAAGGATGTGAATTGCTAATACATTTTCAGTTCCTAAAAAACAAAAATGGCTAAATATTATCAGTGGGGCAAATTCTCCCACTTCCCCAGGGTTTATAGGCCTACAGGAAGCTACAGTAACAAAGCCCAGGCATGCAACTGGGAAGCAACCAAAATAGTTGAAATTCCAAGCTTTGCAATATTTTAGACAGTATTTGTTTTATACAAGGAAATCAGCTGATGCAAGGAAAGGTGGCATGCCTGAAAGTCTGACCTCGGTGGCCGTGTATGCCCCCAACGGAAATGAGAGGATCCAGGAATGAGAATACGCATGCCAGAAATAGCAACTGAAATTGCTTTGATTCATATGAAAAAGCACTAAGCAAACCACATCTATGGCAATTTGGGTGCAGACACCCCTCAGGCCTCACTCAACAAATTGAGTTAGCACTAGCAGTCTAGTTATTAAATATGGCTCTTTGACTTTGAAAAATATCCCAACCCCCCCCCAAAAAAGCCCCCCAAATCCCCAATACTCACCAATGGGTCTCTTATTATGTTCCTCATTGGAGACTCGGCCCACTGACGCCATGCACTTCTCGCTGACGCTGATCTGCTGTTTGGACGGCAGCTGCAGAATGACCTGACCTCCTGTCTTGCGGATGACCTGGGCACTCGTCCCAGCAGCGCGCACAAAGCGCCCTCCCTCGCCTTCAAACAGCTCCACGTTGTGGACCAGGCAGCCAATGGGGAGTGCCCCTAAGGGGTAGGCATCACCCTCATTGGCAGCAACTAAGGGAAAAAAACAAAATTGGATGATTTAACTTTAAAAAGTAAAGCAGCAAAGATTCTAGATTTATCCATTCTCCAGAAACAGCTCCTCCTGAACCACTAACAAGTGTATGAATGGTAAACACCTGTGAGCATACGCCAGCCTATAAGATCCGACATTATAAATTGCAACAGGATCTCGTTGGAAAACACTGAAGATATTGATGGTCAATTGCTGTCAGCTGGCTCTACTATATTACATTAGACGGCAGCCTCCAAAATGCAACCAATTATGACAGGTTTGGGCAAGGGTTGTGTCTTATGTCAGGGCTTAGGTACCTAAAAACATGAATTGAACTCTTTAAGCCTACACACATTGCTACAGTTTAGGTCTCAAGAGACTAAATGTTAATGGGGTTGAAAAAGACAAACATCATTTTGAACTCCAGCCTGACTTGAAATGTACACTTTCATTGATCATGTGATCCACCAACTGAAGGAACTAATAGTAGACACTCACTGATTGGTTAAAATCTCTAGGTCTGCCTTTGCAAATTGTCAACAGTACTTTCAAGAATGAGGTGGGTAAGCTTGGGAAAGGGAAGAGTCATGAGATTTCAAATTTTCAATATAATTCAGAGATCAACTTCACTATGACTGACACAGCTATGAACAGTGTTCACAATATTATCACCCAAACAGTGGCAACGGAATTCCTTTGTTTACATTCATCCCTTGCGGATCAACTTGTGACCTGACATGCCACTTGGCTTGTGATGGACTTGTGATTTGAACTCTTGATTGACTTATCCTTCGTTCAATTACAACCCCGACTCACTTTACCTGTCATCCTGCCGATGGTGCCAGAGGTTTTGATTATATCGCCAGCTTCCATGTTGACTGTGGCCAGGATCCAGCGTTTGTGATTGCCGCCAGCCACCAGGGCGATGTTAGCTGTCCGGCAGGGGTCGTATCGGACCCCGAGTACCTTCTCCATGTAGGGCTCACCCTTCTCTGGCCCGATGCGTTTGAAGTCGATCATACGATAGCGCCGCTTGTGGCCACCTCCCCTTCCAGTTATAGTGACCCTTCCTGAAAAAAAGAGAAAGATAATAATAGTAATAATAATATCTATATATATAAGAGAGAGTTTAACTTGGCCTCCGAGACGATGTTTGCTCATGAAAGGATCCGAGACCGCGGGCTCCCGCTGCGCGAAAATTGCTCCACGTCCGTGGAAAAATACGGAGGGTGTCTTCCGCCGGGTCGGACACTTCGGGTCGTCCTGATTTTCCCGTACGGACCGGCGATCCTTTTCGTCTATTTTTCGTGACTGCGTTTTTCGCAGGAATTTGCCGTCGTGTGCGCTTTCACGTTGACTGCCTGACCGCCCCCTGTGCTGGCTTCTCTGCGTGTCTAGACTGTGCGAGGTCAGCGAGGTCAACGTAGGGGTTCCGTTTACGTGTTCTACTCAGCCGTTCTGCAAAAGCGTTCACCAAATTGTGTTATGGGGTGACCTTGGTAAAATATTTTTTCTCCATGGTGCGTGGCCACCAAGTGCCCCTATTCTTTCATAGGCTTCGCTTGCCGCCCCTGCGCCGAGTGCAACGAATACTCAGAAGGACTACACATTAAGTATGCCTTGCGCGGTCTGACCAATCGAAAGTCTACACTGCGTAGTATTTCCGGGCTATGCAAAACTTTCGATGGCAACGCGTACTGCAGCCTGCTCCACACCCTGGAAACGAGGTTGGGTCTACGGTGCTCGCTATTTGCATGATTTGAAGCACAAGCATGTGACGTCAGTGAATACTATGTATAGTGCTCTGTTGCTTCCATCGTGTGCTTCCACCAAGGCTGAGCGTTGTGAGTTCGCTGCCCGCCAGTGTTGCGTTATAATTTCGGGGGCCTGTCTGGGATCAACGAAGGATCGATGCATTGCTTCAAACATCGCGATCTTATACGAAGTCACAAAAAAATCAACGAAAATGTGTCCGATCCGGTGGAAGACACCCTCCACATTTTTCCACGGACGTGGAGCGATTTTGGCGTCGCGAAAGACCGCGGTCTCAGATCGTTTCAGGAGCAAACATTTCTCGGAGGCCGAGTAAAATTTGCTCTTATATAGATGGTTGACCCAAGTTGAATAACAGTTGACTCGACTTTTTCCTCGCAGACAGTCTCGCAAATTGTAAGAAGTTCAAGTTTACGTTTGTTGAAGAGTCCAATATACTGAAATTTAATTATGACCTTCCTAATCAGCCTTCGCCTGTGTACTACGGCAAGCCTTTCCAGTACGTTTTCTCACAAATGCCACTGCCTCACAAAATGCCAATTTAACAGACCAACGGGAACATTTACAGACTGTTGCCATGGTACATAATTATCATGGGCGTCAATCGGTGGGGGACGGGGAACCCCTCCAGCCCCCCCCCCCCCCCCCATTTTAAAGCGGTGGACACTGTTTTGGTCCCCTCCCCCCACTTTTCTACCCCGAATAAAAATTGTAGCTACTACATGTATAATGATTCTATTACTCAGAATAGCTGATTCAATGACACCAAACTCGAAAATGATGTTTAAAAGATGATCTTTTGCAAAAAAAAAAATTGTTTTAGTGGTCAGAAATTGCCTCAGATCGCACCACAGAAATTGCTTTTCTATAACTGCATGTCTTCTCAACTAAATCCCCCAATTACATTCATCTCCCCACATTTTCATCCCCAACTCTACGCCCTACCTGATCAATGATCGGGTAAATCAACGAGGGATCGATGCATTGCTTCAAATACTGTGCTCTTTGAACTATGTTGGGTTGGAATAACGAAGAGTGCATAAATAATAATATTGGCGGTTGTTGGCTGTTTGGCCCGCTTATATTATGGTTGAACCATGCCAACTTGAATAAAATAGTTAAATCGACTTTTTCCTCGCAGGTCTCGCAAATTGTAAGAAGTTCAAGTTTACGTTTGTTGAAGAGTCCAATACTGTACCTTCATAATGACCTTCCTCCATGATTCAGACTATGTAATTTTATTATCATGGGCGCGGCGTCAATCGGTGGGGGACGGGGGACCCCCACCCCAACATTTTAAAGCGGGCAATATCGTTTGGTTCCCTACCCCCACTTTTTCTTCCCCGAATAAAAATTGTAGCCTACTATAATATTCTTTTGCTCAGAACAGCTGATTCAATGACTCCTAACTCGAAAATGATGTTTAAAAGATGATCTTTTGTTTTACTATCGTACGTGGTCAGAAATTGCCTCAGATCGCGTCACCGTAAATTGCTTTTCTATAGCTACATGTCTTCTCAACTAAATCCCCCATTTACATTTAACTCCCCACACTTTCAACCCCAACACAAATACGCCCTACCCGATCTATGATCGGGTAAATCAGCTTGTATATCTATATAGGGCATTATCCGGAAACCTGATCAAGGCGCCTACACACACAAAAATAGTCATGCTCCAGTCATAGTGAAATAACTAGTGAAGTAGACGAGATTTCAGTTTTCTTTTGAAGATGTCCAGGGATGTTGTTTGACGGAGTGTGGCTGGGAGTTTATTCCAAATGGCAGGTGCGGCCTTGGCAAAGGCATGCTGACCATAGCGGATTGTTCTAGTTATTGGTTCTGCTAGTGGTAAAAAATAAGAAGTTTTAAGAACCTGATCACATCTTTGACGGACAATTCAAACACTTTCGATCTCAGGCTGTGCTCCGTGGTCATATATGGGTCGATGTGGCCGGCAGCCATAGGCGCCTTTACGTGCCAGCGGCCCAACCACGTTGTAGCCGCGTCGTTCGCAATTCAGCATACCAGCTGCGAGTAAGGATGATTAGCCTCCCAAATTATTAAATTATTAATTATTAAAATGCCTTTTTTGTCACAGCTCATTTGACTAGCTTGTGACTTGGCTTTCAAAATCCTGCAAAGATCCAAAATCTGCTGTTAAATTACAAATGTTCTGAGCGGGCTGCAGTTAGGGTTAATGACAATTTTTGCTGTAATAAAACGTGATGCGGATTAACAACCTGTTTTGTTGCGTCCGGCTGACTGCTTCAACCCCATTGCCCGGATGGTGTACTTGGGGGTGTTCTTCCAGGGAATAAACTTGCCGACAACAGCTGACGTGTGAATCTCGGGCCTCGACGGGCTGAGCACTAATTTATGTGCTTCTCTTTGTCTTAGCAAACAGACAGACGATGCTGCTGAGCTAGTTGGCATCCATCCTGACGTCAGATGGTTTGACAGTGTCTGAGATCTCACTGCCTGATGACGAATAGTTCTGATAATTTGCTGTTGACAGTCCTGTTGACTTTTTAGTGCTAGAGATTGCAGACTTCTGCATATGGCGGCAAGTGCCATTGTGTCACATTCACCACTGGTATTGTAATCTGTAGCAAATGGGGAAAACATTTTGGACGTTATTGGGAGATCATATCAAAATGTACAACACAGGCAAAATGAAGGTTCAAATTTAAGCTTATGCCTAGGGCTTAGGTGGCCTTGCCCTTAGCCATCATGGCATCATTATGTCAGTGATGCAAAAACAGGTAGCCCCACTTATGTGGCCTCCGTATTGCTGCGCTGTACGTTAGGCCACACGTCTGGTTTTCCAACCTACATGTACTGAGGAGTTTAGTCCAAACTCTGGCGCACCCTTTTTTGGCACTTTTTTCTTACATACCACTGTATATGGTTGTAACTTGTATTCTTTGATTTCTCATCTTTTGCCCTCTGGGTAGATTAGGTAATCTCTCTTCAATTTTTTCGAGAAATTTAGACATCTTTCTGGAGTCCGTATGCACCACTTTCGGACTGAACTCCTCAGTAGGTTGGGAAACCATGGCCTAGTACTAGTAGTAACACATACGAACTTGGCCTATGCATCGTGCGGGAATTTGCACGCCTGCGCACTTGCAGTCATTTTTAGAAAAATATGTCGGTGACTTGCCTACGTCACAGACAACCCGAACGTTTGCGGGTCAATCCAGGTCAATTCCCGCGCGGACCATCTATTTTTGAACCGATCGATATTGCGGTCGGCCGATATGTAATCTGATACGTTCCCACGCCACGGCCAGGCACTATGCATACATGCTGCATACAACTACGTATACGTGTATGTACATGTATTGGATGATCCAGGGGATCGGCGAGCTTCAAGTCAATTTTTTCAAATCGGAGTTCGACTCGAAGCTTGCTTCATTTTATTTTTGACCAAAATGCAATTTGGCATACATGTATATTCAAAGTTACATAATAATACAGCAAATATGAAAGACCGTTTAGATCTCTACATCATTTGTTGTGAATTAGCCACTGGAAAACACAGTACGAAATAACTTTATTTAAGTTTAATAACTTTTCAAAATATGCACCTGTGGTTTTTAGTATTTTACGACGATGGAAAAAAAACACATTTTTAAAGTTCTTTATCCTTTTTTCCCCGGCATATTTTTAAAGTTATATTTCATTGTCATAGTGCTAGCCCAGGGCGGATAGGCATCGTGTCTTTTTGCTTTCAGTCTTTATGTTATCATTTTAAAAATTATTGTGTTTTACAGGCATATTTTATTCATAGGTTAATTTAAATGTAAGTTTTACTATTGTCAGTTCTTGCATGCTGTTTTTACTGTTTTTACTCTTTGATTTACACCAGGACAAGAATGTGTTTGCTTTTAACTTAGATGACTAATACAAGTACGAATATGAATGTTCACCACTTGTCAATAATGTCGAGAAGTTATAACAACAAAGGCATGAAAATAAAAGGAAATACACTTGATGCCAACTTCACGAAAGGGGTAGATCATGGGGGCAATTCCGAAGAGTCGTCAAAGAACAGACGCAAAACAAACAATCCAGATTATAATCTCCCCCAGGCTAATACATAGTCAAAAACCCGTTCTTTAAAAATCGAATCAGAGTAAGTAAGCAGTAAGCAGTAAGCATGACAAGTCTTTTAAAAAATAGTTTTGAAATTTTTGAATCAAATTGCAAAAGGTTTTCAGCGTTTTTACGGAGGGACTAAATTATCAATCCAAAAATCATACCTTTTTTCAAAATTCTTGTTCCGGCTGAAATTGCACGCAACGAACATTTTTTGGAAAGAAGTCTGGGTCAAAATCAGATAAAATCAACGAAATCATAACAATCAATGTTGAGAAAACTTCACCTGAATGTCTTTTGATTTTTTACGAAGAGACAAATTCGTGCAAAGGGTGGGGAATGGGTATCGGCAATTTGCCAAAACAACAAGTGTGTGGGATTTAGTTTTCACGACCAGACAAACATCTATGGGGATTAGTTACGATACCGGTACCTCGCAATTGTTGTTCCATTATTCTGTAATTGGTACATCTTTGAAGTTTCATCTGTGTTTCAAAAGTTAGTCAGTAGTATGCGAAATGTTTATTCCAAATCGTGACCAACTTAAAACCTCTTTTCTGACAACCACTGCAAGTTCAACGGGTGCATTACGTTATACCTGTTCCCAAACCTAACCTTAACCGTTAAACCCCAACACCTATTGCGGCAAATTCCTTCGTGAAAACGCTGACAAATTGGAATAAGCGAAATCTGGATAAAGTCAACACTGATAACTCAAAACCTGAAAGTCAAACCATCCCTCCGTGGTCAAAGAAAACTGCATAGTACTACGAAATAAAACAATATATATACCAAATTTCGATGTGGTCCGTAGCTGCATGGGAGGCTATACTATCAAGGTCGGGGCCTTAGGCCTATATATCGCAAGTCCGACTCCTCCGATGATAAACCTGGACCCCCGCCACGCTCGGAAGTCCGAAATTTCCAAATTATTAGGCGTCGGACTGATGAGGTGTCGGACCTAGGCGTCGGAATTTTATAACAGTTATGGGCCTTATATTAGATTTTGCCGGACTTGGGGCCTATATATGCGTCTGACATAATTATATGAGGCTTAGCGGAGCCCTTAAGATTTCCCTTTAAGTCCAATGTTATTGAAAGGTCAGAAACGATGGAAAATGATGAATACTCCGAATACAAAATACTCTAAATAATTATGGAGAACTAGTGATCAAAGGCATCTTGTGAGCGAATAGTTCGTCAGTACTGATTGTTATTCTCCTCTGATGTCATTGTGTATCGTCTAAACATGAGAATGCAGTTTCTATTTTGTTGGTTTCTGACAAAGGAAGGCATTTCAAATACATGTATTTTGCACCAATTTTTAGAGAAAATATTCTGAACTTGCGGAAAAAGGACCCACCAAGTCAGAACGTCGGCCAAAGAGGCGAACAAAGATATGTTTTTTTTTGCATGCGGGAGGTGTTTGGTACGCCCACGGGGGTACGGACGTGCGGATCCAGATAATCCACCCTAAGAATTTCTGTGTAATAAGCCATGCTAGAGTAAACTTTTAAATAATAAAACATGAATCAATGAAGTTGGAGGCTCACTCGGATGGCAGGTAAGGGACCGCTGGTACGTTCAAGTTTGACACCACCGAGGAGAAAGAGAAGGCTGCCGGCCAAGGCTAATGCAGCTAAGGAGAAGGAGAGAATCAAGGCCAAGAAGGAACGGGAAATGAAAGCCAAGATTGCAGAAAAGCCAAGAAAGCCAAAATGGTGAATAAAGTCAAGAAACCCGCGCCGAAGAAGTCACCCAAGAAAGCTGCCAAGAAAACGCCATCCAAGTCAAATATACATCTGTCAAGAAATCCTCCACCAAGCCATGCCAGCCAAGCCAGCCAAGAAGCCAGCCAAGAAGCCAGCCAGCAAGAACACATCGAGCAAGCAGAAGAAAGTGTCGGCCAAGCCTTCGAAGAAATCATCGAATCAACAAACTAAAACCAAAACGGCTCTTTTCACAGAGCCACAACATTTTCACAAAATAGATATGAGATATTCGTTTCTGCAATTTGCATTTTTATTAAATTTTATATTTTTCATGATTACTGTTTTTAAGTTTTCGTATAAAAGCCCCCCCCCCCCAAAAAAAAACCCCAAAAACATCATTGCATGAAAATAAGATATTTTCACCCCATATTCCATTCCGCGCCAGGGGACAGCGCAAAGGGTGAATAAAAAAAACCATGATATTCCAACCTCCTGATTCGGAGTACTCTAAATCCCCCCCCCCCCACACACACACACACACACACGCACACCCACGCTTAATTGCACAGGCGTAGAAGTGGGGACGCGGCCCATCCCCCATTTGCCCCCATCCCCCATTCGCCCCTCCCCCCCGTCCCTAACGCCCCCTTCCCCGGGGTCTGGATAATGGTGCACGGAAAAAAGGAAAAATTAGGAACAAAGGAATTTTATCCCCGCCCCGCCCCAAGGTCGGGATAATTGGCAAGGCCAAAAGGGTCAATAAAAAATGTGCATGGAGTGTTCCCGGTGCCCGCCCCCTATCTCCCCACCCCTCCAACCCGCGGGCCTCCCCACCCACCCCACTCAACCCCGTCCCGTCGCTTTGGGATAGTAAGGGACGAAAAAAAAGGCCATCAACAACGGAATCCTTGCTTTGTAACGCTGCTTCTTCCATAGCTCCTGCACGGGTGCATGTCTATGTTCCCCAATTCCGATGTTCCCTAATACCGATGTTCCTCGAAATCCTTACCAATATAACCCTAACCCTAACCCTAACCTAATCCTATGGATTTGGGGGAACATCGGTATTGGGGAACATCGGGTAGATCCCCTGCTCTGCTGCACGTACGTACGTGTATACTGTATACAGACTAACTGATCATTCGCAATTTTTGGCATTTCCTTCGAAAATGTTCATGCATATTGCTCGCGACATCGCACAATCAAACCGACCACCCACATGTGGCACACCATTCGACAGCTAAAATCCTCAACTATTCGAAATAAATTCATTTGAATTTGAACCAAATACTGGAAAGAAGACAACGGGATTGAAGATGACTGGACTCCTACTCCTAGCGAGAGGGCCGAAATTGATCGACGACGATGTCATGCGCGTATTTTAAAGCAAGAATTTGACGATTGCGTCATAAAATTCGGCGCTGTTCACCTAATTTGCATACGAAGGTTTCTGTGAATAGTTTGTCGTGGCCCCCACCCTCTGCCCCAAGGATCGGGATTATAATGCAAGGACCAAATCAAAAGAAGATTGAGAAATTCCAGGCCCTCCCAATCTGCGCGGCTCTCCCGGGGATATTCAGCCCTCCTGGTTCGGAGTACGATACCCCTCCACCTTCTCTCGCCCCTCTCGAAATCTCCCAGGAATGATATTCCATCC